CGACGCTACACTACAATAGGTCAATATATTTGGTGTGAATGGGGACAAGTTGGACCAAATGACCACGTCCGCAAGGCTGAGCCATTCCAAACCGATCGAAAAGTTCCCGAGTTCATCTTTGTCAACATTCTTTCCCTGTCGAACTTTGACTGAGAATTTTCTCAGTTATCTTATGTTCAGCTTTGAGGATCGTGTGGTTAGAATCAATACCACTAAAAGTGTAGTGTTTAATCACCACAAATAATTTGCCACGCAAACTGTCCTCAGTCAAATGACCACTGGAAATCAGGACGTACTGGATATCTCTACCATGTCAGCAAAGAACTCTTCTGTGACAGTGAGCACCATCGTAGGTCAAACTCCGAACTTTCAAATATCTCGGCTACTTCTCGACTAAATTAGTTTCACATATTACAATATTTCTATTAAATTAAGGACTCTTTGTTCAGGATTTTCTCACTTTGCTCTCAATCTGACAACATCTGTTTGTATAGTATCACAGTCTTTTTCCTTCACCAGGTACTCGTCTATCCGTAACCTTTACAGTGTTTTTATAAATATCTAGAGATTTTCATTTCTCTTACGGCATACATAATAAACTTTGAATAACACATTCGGTCTGGAGATATAACAATGTAGCCGATACAATGATCTGGAGGTTACGTAGATTGACCATGCTTGGATGGTCGAGCTATACCATCTGGATTAATTGTTCCCACATTCACCTAACATTCTTCAAGCGTCCAACGGCTTATAAGAGTCTTTTAAGTTATTGTACGTTCCGGTTCACTGATAGTGTGATTCAAAACTAATGTCACTACAAGCAGTCTAGTTATCCGACAAGCCCCATCTAGTGGGAAAAACTGACGCCCTTCGAAAGCCACGAGGCTGGTGCCTCTTTTGATAAACAGAGCATCAGTAAACATAGGACACGGAATATTCAAGCAATGTAGAAGTCCAGGAGGGTCTGTAGTGGCATTGGGCCCTAACTGCATAGTCCTCAAAACTGAACACGAGACAGTTGAGGAAGTAGATACTGAACATTTAACTCGGAGAAAAATCCAACGATGAGGAAGACGGGTACAAGGAATTGAATTAACTCGAGTTGATAGGATGGAATGGCTCGGCCTTGCAGGCGTGGTCCCTGCCAAACGTTACCTCATATCTTTTATTCATATTAAATATGTTGTTCCGTCTCTAGCCTAAGCTTGTTCTTCATCATGTATTGGTAGTTGTTACGATGCAGTGAGTTGATCTAGACGATGATGTGACCTCCACGTAAGATCTTATAGATTAGGCAGTTATGTCATGACAAATCTACAATATTAGGATTAGGTCTATTATTAGAGCAGCACTAATATCATAGTAGAACATAATTCTACAGGTCCTAAAATAGTCAAAAATGGAAAGATATCTGACTGTGTTTGGAAATGATGAGACTTAGCAAGATCAAGTTAGACAAAAAGCTGACCCAGAGACAGATGCTGTTGTATTTTGGTCATGAAAAAATATACTTTGGATTGATGCTGTCCTCAGAAAAACTAGAATTCCTAACAGGATTATTATTATTCACAAACGGTTAATTGATACATAAGTGTTGTGAAACACACGAATTCATGATCAAGAAAGCATCCTTTAAAACAAAGGAAGGAGGGTTTACAATGAATATTGTTTGCAGCTTTACTCGTCCACCAATGATATAAGTGAACATGACAAAGATCAGTTTCAATACAGGCTGCAGTCCATCACAGAAAAAAACACAGGAAAAGACCTAACCATCATAAAGAGGGATCTGAACATCAAGATGGGCTAGACAACACTGAGTGTGGACGCGTCATGAGACGATGTGGATTGCGGCAATGAAGTGAGAGTGATGAGATACTGACGGATCTATATTCATTCAAGAACACAGTCAAAGGTGTCAGCGTACTCCCTACACGCTCATGTCATATGGATACCATTGTACCACACTACGGTAAATCAGATCGATGACATATGAATAAATAAAAAACTCGCGAAGTCGCATAAAAAATGTAAAACAACGAAAAGTACTTGTATAACTTTAGATCATCATACTGTAGTAAGTGGGTATGATAATTATTGCCTTATATGCGATGACAAGGGACACGTACATTTAGTAAGGACTCAAATCCCAATATTCCCAAAGATATTTTTAAGCGAGTGAGTTGACTGTGATATGCATAAGTAATAAATAGAATTGTAGCGGCAAATAAACCCCCAAAATAAATAGTTCTGCAGGTAATCGACATTTGATGCTGACCTCATTAGTTTTAGAGGACACATCTAGCTGAGTTCGCTTGGTCACGCATCCGCACATACCGTGCTACACATCTCCTACAGACGTTAGCCAGCTTATTATTAACAGCGTTCCGATATATTGGTAGCCTTTCAAATAAATCTTGAAGACTCTTCACTCCTGACTTCCGGTGTGATGGGTGGCATCTTTAGAATCAAAGTAAGATAGAGTTAAATGGACACAAAAGAACTGGAACAATATGAATAATGAATTTATTGTAGAACCAGACCTATATGTAACTGAATTGGATTTATACCAATACTGTCATTTAGGATCACTAGCATGTGTATTGCTACAGATATAGTATTGGCAATAGAATGAAATAATTTTAGGAACTGGTTACACTAGTTCAGTCTGTATTGTATTTAAGTGAGCGCAAACTGTCCGAAGTCTTAGTTGATCAAGGGGTCCGAAATATATGCGAATCAAAGTAATAATGAGATATGACTAATATGTAGACGGATAGACTGTCAAACTGAAAAGGTATATTATAGGGATCTACATGTAAGATATTTGAATTAATCACTCACTGAGTACAGGCTAACTAGCAATTTGTTTGACGGTCACATCTCCAGCCAGATATTGTGTTCCAAAGTGAGTATACAATTGTGAAGATGCAAATGTAGTGTGTGCTACGGATGTCGACAGATATAAGTATTACCTATCACCAGTCGAAAGTGAAACACCTGGAGGTAGAAGGTTAAGAAGATCGAAGAAAAGAGAACGGGAAAAAAAATGATTGGTGTGGAAATGAAGGAACAATGAAGTCTGAGACGATTGACTGACATTTTGAAAATGAAGTATGAAGTTCCCAGAATTTACTAGAATATTCTGTAATTTTGTATTCAAATACATTCGATTGTCCCCAAATGCGTTCTCGTTCGCTACACAACATGTCTGTATTAGGCGCTATACGGAGCTGTAGCTGAAGCTATAGAAATGTTAGATAGTAAAACAACCAGCCTCAAGCCCTACAAAATCTACCAGAAAAGATAATGAAACACTCAAGATAATAACTGAAAATGGTTAAAAAGGCATAAACTTCAACAAATTAGGCTGAACTAGGTCCAAAGTGGTCCCAATATGACAGCAGATAGTGGACATTTTGGGCAAGAATCGCGAAGGAAAAATAAGAAAACCGTAGCAAAATGTAAAGAAACCAGATGCAGCTTATTTTTGAGAGCAGACTCTATTAAGAAGTATTTAGCAAGACATATTGCAATGCTTAAATTTAAGTGTTGGTGGACTTGTGATGCTATCGACTTCGTAAACCTATAGTAGGTATTGACTCAGGTTTTCAATAAATAATATTGATGACTTAATTCATCTTCTAGTTATTATTGGTGTTTGGTGTCTCGTTCTATGTTTCATACGAAACCACCGCAGTGGTCGTTTAGTGGCCGTAGATCTGACTCCAAGAAGATCGTAATGAATGTTTGTTATCACCTATCCTCGTATACAAACATCGACTTAAATCGCGTTAGTCAATAACGGAATTAAATAAGTCAAATAACGAGAATAGACTTTCGAATACATATATTTTGTGTATGAAGCGAATGGAATACAGAAGAGAAAGGATGCTGAGTGAAGATGGTAGGTAAGCAAACTCCATTTTTTAGCCAGGCGTTACTCAATATTTATAGGCAGACGAAATAAACTACAGACATGTGATTAGACATGGGATATGAAGTGTGCACACATATACGCTCATATGAAACCAGCCAAGACTGATAAGCGAATAATTAACAAGGTCAAAATATGACTCAAGTAGAATGAATAGATTGGGCTGTCCGAAAGTTAGAATAGAGTATATGGACTTAACATAATAACTGACACTACAGTCGCCTACATAAGGACGTGCATAACATTAAATGTGTAATAACTCCGGAATTATTTCCAGCGATAAAAATCTCTCGCAGAAATCAAGTCGCGCTTGCACCACAACATGAAAGTTGCTGTCAGCATGGACAAAGACGCACACGTCCTAACAATCCATCCATGCTCAAAGCAGTAAGAAAAAAGCTAGTATTATTTTCCATACAGAGCCAGAAAGCTGCCAAATGCGGTTGCAACCCAAATAAAAGGGGATTTTTCGCCATGAACCTTCCAACACGTCACTCCTGTAATTTAGTGCCCGATAGAAATTGTACGGTAATTAATGACCACAAACCGTTCAGCTTTTTTTTAACAGTCGAGCCATAAGTACTTCCCACCTGGCTTGAGAAACCTAGCTTATCTATATCAGTTCACTTACTAGACTTAACTCGGTCAATATTGTTAGAGATGCTCTGCTTACAGTAAGTTCCTTGTATCGTTTCTCTTATTCATATATGGATATTATTTTAGTCCTGATCGTGGTCAATCAAGAGAACTTGACTTTACCAATCCTAAGTTTTAAGGGATCATATATTTCGTACATTTCACTGTGTAAAATATTTTCCTTTACACTGAAAATAATAACAAGTTGTATTTTCAGGTGATTAGTGCTTTGCGTTGTATTACATCAGGAGACTAGTCAAGGGCGAGTTCATGCTCAAGCCGCTGATTTTAAGTGCGCAGCGGATAAACCTTCTTTACACTTCCTCAAAGTTTACAACGTTTCGTCACTCATTTGTTATGACCAGTCCTGAAGATCTCAGTAGTTCAGTATGTAGTTTCTTTATGGTCAACATATTCTTCATAGGAAATACAAGCTTTCATCACCAAAGTTAAAAGTTTACCCGGTGGAACTAACATTCAGCAAGATGAAGCTGAAAAAGCGGCTCATTTGTACCTCAGAGCTCGCAAGAGAGATGTGGAGCGTGCTGTGGAATTGTATAAAGCTAACAAGGTATGCAGGTGTTTTGAAAGCATGAATTATTGTGACCTCCACATTGAAGTATATTATTGCTGCTAATTTTATGATAAACTTGATATAAAGTGTGAAAAGTATGGCGCTAGTCCGCTTTTTATTTATCTGCCCATTGCAGATTGCTTCTGTGTCAAATGAACTTGCACTTCGCCTGATCCCTTGCATGATATTCAACTAGAACTGTCTAGTTTATTTACCGAAGTATCTAATGCTCGATTTAATCGGAATACTATTGTCTAAATCTTGCTTCTCTCAATTATTAAAGGTAGAAATGACTGAACAGATGTGCTGGAAATACTGATAACTGGATGGTATGAAGCGATATCGAAAATAGGGAGAGGCTTACGACAGCTAGTTCGTTCACTAACTATTAGTCAGTCAGCTACAATGTAGGACCACTAGTAGATTACTTATAACCTCTCGATGTTGAACTTAAGTAAATCATTACCGTGACGCTTAAGAAATGAAGGTTTCTACGGCAGTAAAACAGTTTATATGTAACAATGTAGCACAAAAACTATGATACCTATTAGTCTTTTTATCCATTTCATGATTACTAAATACAATAAAGAAACAAGAAAATCTATTTAACAATGTATCAGGAGTCCTGTCCTTAATTTATGAGTACCCTTCAGTTTAAAATGTCACTCAACGATCCAGAATTTTTCTAGCTAATAAACTTCAAACAACTACTTGTTGTATGTGAGTTAGTGGTATCATTCTGCTGCTAACACGAAAGTAGGTGATGCAGAGTTTGAAGTTGCAATCAAAACCCCCTTATGATGTTCAAATTTATTCGGGTTAGTTGACTTATTCTTGTTGCTAAATTTGGGTAAATTCTGTACACTCTAGAGAAATCCCTTTGTTTTCAGTAAATATTTAGATGGGTCTTTTTTGGCAGTCTACAACTGGTCAATATTTTGAACCATTCTTGAGTAAACATTAGGGATTAATTTAACTGGTATTAATTTTTAGTCCCTTGTATTCCTATAACCTTATTGTCATAATAACCAATTCCATTATTCGAGGTAGCGAAAGGGGCCTAGTGAATTTATGGGTCAGTGAAACTTATCTCTTAATTTTTTTATTCTCAAATTTAGCACACCGTTTTAAAATTTTTTCTCCAGTTCTTCTACATAACGGGTTATTTAATATCGCTTTCTAATAAATTCGTCTATTTGCTGCGATTATACCAATCTCGAAGTCGTTAGCAAAAAAGACTAATAAATTGGTAAAAATACACAACTTACCATTTTCTAGTCCACAATTTTAACCTAACACAATCCGATGTTAGACGTTTTTACTGTTCACGTTGAGTTGTCGTATTTGAACTAATTAGTATTGAAACTTGATCTTCAAGGTTGTGCCAAGAATTTTCATAGTCTTTACATCAAAATATGAACTAAAGTTTGTTGGTCAAATTTATCTGATATAATCAGTTCAGTTTCGAACTATACCATTTCTTCATTTAAAATTTACATGACAAATTTACGATACAATACTTCAGTAAATTAAAAGGGATGTCAATCAAACCAGGCAAATCCAACAATATATTATAATGGGACCCACTTTCCAAGTACAAGTCTATGTACTCAGTTTTGAACCATAGTGTAATGACCAGTAATACGATCCACGGCCGTGCAAACATATGACTAGCTTAATAAATGACAAGTATTTTAACCCAGAAAACTAAGATAGAAATAAAACTACAGTGTTTACAGACCGGTTAACTAAATGTCAGTCAATGATGAACAATAGAATTTGATCTATAGTAAGTAATGGGCAATCATCACATTGGTTGCAACTTAGTGACCAATCACCATAAATAATTGGGCGAAAAAGTCTTTGAAAAAAACCCTGATCGGTTCAAACCTCAAATATCATGTCTTACACATGTATTATTGGGTAAAATTGTGTAAGCTCAATGCTTGATTGATGTGTATGACCTCTATATTCGATTTTTCTTATTTAACACATGACGGTTAGTTGAAAAAAGTAAGCTCTTAGCAACTGGAATGCAAGTATTTGAATGTGATTTAAAGGTTGCATTCGAAACTGTGCAAGAGATGATTTTCTGTAGTATAACTTCAGTAATTTTAAAAATATTACTAGTGATTACATGTATCATTAATTAAAACTTATAAGACGTCATCAGTCAGTCAGCCACAACATAGGACCAGGCACATATATGCATCGGTCCAAGTTGCCACATCTCAATAGCGCAACAAGGTGAACACCAAATTCATATCAGTCACTTCAGTGATAGTAATGTATAAAAGAAAGATTGTGTATAAGGATATAATGCAGGAAGGAAGAAGTAGTTCGTAGAAATAAAGATATGAAGCGATTTTAATCTCATAGTTTAAGGGAAGACAGTGTATACACCTACACCATTGTGATCGATTCTGAGTCATATCAACAAAAGTTCCCAACCATTGGTTACGATAGTCACGCGGACACCAACCAAGTAATTCGCATTTACTAACACGGCTCAGACTGGAAGTTAGTGACTTCAAGGACTGATACCACGTTTTAGTTTGGCCGCCCCTAAATTTCTTCCAACCATTCCCAACACTAGTCAGCATTGCGCGTTGTGGTGATCGGTGTTCAGGCATACGCAACATGTGGCCCAACCATCTCAGTCGATGAAAATTTACAACCTCATCAGTTGATTTACCATCATTCCCTAATGCCCTGCGCCTAACCTCACTATTACTTACCCGGTGATCCCAACAGACGCCAGCAATATTTCTAAGGCATCTGTGGTCAAATACTAGTAGCTTACTAGTGTCTTCTACTCTTAAAGGCCATGTTTCGCAGCCGTAAAGTAAAACAGGACGGACTGCCATGCAGTATACTCGTCCTTTTATTGATAGACGGATATCTCGCCTTCGCCAAAGGTGACGTAAGTTGGCAAAAGCCAAACGAGCTTTTCGAATCCGTGCTGAGATTTCGTCCGATACCAGCTCATTAGGGCTGATCAGACTTCCAAGATAAGTGAAGTTGTCAATGCGTTCGACTACTTCACTCCCTATCCTTAGTTCAGGTGTTGACGCAGACCAGTCCTGAAGCAACAACTTGTATTTAGACGGAGAGAAGCGCATTCCAAACATTCTGGCATTGTTGCTCAGTGCTACCAAAAGACTGCATTTTGTCAGCGTCTTCACCAAACAGGACTATATCATCTGCGTATTCTAAGTCGATAAGTGGACCTCCTGGTAGGAGATCAATACCCGAGAATTCAGTCGACGAGAATGTTATTTCCATCAGTAGGTCTATGATGAAGTTAAACAAAAATGGAGAAAGTGGCCAGCCTTGGCGGACACCACTTGAGGTTGCAAAAACAGATGACAGTTCGCCATAAGCTCTGACTCGACTAGTAGTGTTCGAGTAAAGAGCCTTCACAAGGTTTATGTACTTCTGAGGTACGCCTTTCAATGACAGACACTGCCACAGAAGTTCTCGGTTCACAGAGTCAAATGCTGCTTTCAAGTCAAGAAACACCACCACTGTCGGACGCCGATAAGTATGCCTATGTTCTAAAACCTGATGAATGGTGGATATGTGGTCGATGCAGCCACGACCAGGTCTGAGGCCAGCTTGATTCTCTCGTGTTTGCAGTTCACGAGTCTTAGTTAGGCGTCTGATAATTATCGAGGCTAGCATTTTGGATACTATATTAGTTAAACTAATCCCTCTATGGTTATCACAGGATGATTTTAACCCTCTCTTATATATTGGGACGATAAGTGATTGTGACCGGTCAGATGGAATAACGTCTAACTCCCAGATCTTAGCTAAAATATTAGTCAACCTGGTCGCTAAAATTGGACCACCATCCTTAAAGACCTCTGGAGCCAATCCATCTGGACCAGCTGCCCTTCCTCGTTTCAGATTAGCTATAGCTTTTTGAACTTCAACTAGAGACCTACTTCAATGTTCCATTCAGGCTGCTTGGGAATAGTGGGTAGTTGTAGAGTAGCTGAAGACCAGCTGAACTTCTCCTTAAAGTGTTCCGCCCATCGTTCTAAACGTCGGGGCTGAGAGCAGATAAGTATAATCTTTTTCCGAGGTCGTCTCACTTACACGTGACTTAATTCCAGTTTCTTTTATTAGTCTGAAAAGCTGTCTGGTGTTACTTACAACCTCTGCTTTTTACATCCCTTTTGCTTTCGTTGCCCACCGCTGCTCACGGTCGTTCCTTAGACTTTTGGTTAACCTAGATCTGATTTGTTTACTCTCTTCGTCGTGTTCAGAGCCTGATGGGATGAGTTTACGAGAATCTATCAGTGCAATAGACTCGGTAGAAATCCATTGGTTTTTCGTAACCCTTTGGTTTAAATCACTCATAGATGTCGCTGCTGTTTCCACGGTTGTCCGTATATCTTTCCATGCAACATCTGGATCAGCCTCGTTTTCGGGACTACATAAGTGTGACTTCAGTTGTTCCTGCAATCTACTTTTGTCTTTCTCGTCACTGAGTCCAACTCTATATATAAGACTTCATACCAAAGATCTGTTGTCTCGCACGAGAATCATTCAACTTCCGAACAACAAAATGACTTCGGACAGTCCTTCTAGATCGATTTTTGTGAGGAAACTGTCAGACATTTGAAAAGCATAGGTCTTAAACCCTCTGTTAGTAACGGGACATATTGTACCGAATACATCAAAAACACTAACATCCATCCGATAATGCCAAATGTCTACTCGAAGTGTGTAAATAAATTGATTCCCTGTACAAAAGTTGTAGAAAAATGGTATGAAAGAAGGGGAGAAAGGTTCAAAATAGTTAAATATATGCAGCTGTACTGGCTGGTTGTGGTTTGGAAGTAGGTTAGGAGCCGCCTAAACAAAACGTGGCATTAGTCCATGAAGTCATTAACTGTTGGTCTAAGACATTATTCTTAACAATTTCATTCCGCTGTATTTATGTGCTCTTCCAATAAATTCGAATCAGTGCTCATATGTTCCAGGTTCTACGTTGCTTGTGACTGACTCAAATGTTTTTCAGTCTTGCCCACTACATGAGCACTGTCGACAGAATGTGTAAAAGATAGAGCTATACTCAGTCATGAATATAATCGTTCTATTTATTAATTTATACGTCCATTATATACTGCTAAACTGACTTACTGGTTAAAACATTCATCTTTAAACCACTAAGTCACAAGTTTGAAGTCCACTCCATCTATTTTTTATGAGAAGTGAGGAACAGTATCACTGTCCTTCATACAAGTGGTATTGTTTAATATCCTGATTACAATAAAACTACACCTAATATATGAGTTTGACTATTCCTCAAGATCTTAAGCGTTAATGGTATGATCAGTATTCTTTCATCTAATAAGTAATATATATTCAATGCATTTGTATTGTTTGTCTATAAGTAAATAAAATGTAAACCTACTCGTTGTTTATGTTTCTCAATTGATTTTCTATTTTTAGCGAATGCGCTATACTGAAAATGTAGATTCAATCGATCCTTTAGAAGATGGAGTTCGACGTGAACTTCTATCTGGTAAATTTACTGTATTAGTAAGTTTAATCGGTAATGAGTTGCGACTTTCGTTTTTTGTTTGGTTAAAACTTTTTATTATGCACTTTTAATTAATTAATTATTATTTCACAGAATTAATAAGTAGTCTGTTCCTCTTAGTAGTAGTAAGGTTGACTTGTTGTTTTTTGTTTTGTAAAATAAATAGTCGTAGATTTTCATCAGTTCCTTATTCGTCTGTTATTGTATGTTTGAAGTTTAACTGATATCAGTATAAACATAGTACTGTACTACGGGTATGTATTTTAGCAATTTGTCCACCTCTATCAATCAAACTCAACGTAGAACCTGGTGCTTGTGTACATCGTTCCAAGTTGCCATACTCCATTGGCGCATCGAAATGAAACTGTTAGGGCCAATACCAGAGTAGTAGAGGTAGTAACACTATGAGTGGTGATTGGAAAGATTATCCATAGAATTTATACAATTCCAGAAGTGCATGTGAATTAGTGAAATAAAAATTATGTGAAATTGAGGAACCATTTGTCCAACTTTACTTCACATAATTCAGTCTAATCAAATCAAATCAATATTTTTAACCATCACATAATAAGTGTATCGTATTGTATAGTTCATGAGTCTGTTTCATTATTCGATAAACTAATTAAAAAACCCTAAACTTCACAAAGTTTGGTTAATCACTATTTTCTTCACTCATGTTCCCATAGCTCTTTAGTCATTACTCACAGATGTCGGGACTTGGGGCATATGATATTGAAATCACTATGTAAGTAATCCTGAGATTAGGCACAGGGTACTGAGCAAAAGTACTAGATCCATTGACTAGTCTACAAACCATCAACTAAAGTGGTCGGGACACGTTTAACATATGTTTGTACAACACCACCCACTCTGATGCTCTGCGCCTACTGGTATATAATTAGGGTAGTAAACAAATTAGAATTGAGCAGATCTAATACAATACATCACTTCATAATGATTATTGGTCAGAGCCTTCTTGGTAGGTGAAAAATTCTATGTTGGAATTGGCACAAAAACTTGTTTTTGGCTGGAGATAATGGGTATTGCATTGCATAATCGATTAAGACGGTACAGTTGCGTTAATTTCTTCTCTCTAAATCTTATATTTTGTATCATTTCACCCCACACCTTCATATGTTTCTTTAAACTATATTTTTCCAAGAATAGCTTTTTATTTGCATTCGATATTTTCTCTCTCATCCCTCTCTTGTTTCCAGTTTTCTCTGTTTTCGTGTTGACATAAGCTGTGAAAACGTAAACTAACACACAGATTATGTATTGATCAGGACTATCTGACAACTGAATGGATAATCAAGTTGTTAGGTTAAGTTAATTTTATAAAACGATAGATCTGGCGAATTTCATGTTTTGTAAATGCCTGTAGTTAAAGTTAGGTTCTTAAGATCATGTTCTTCACTCTATCACAAACCGTCGTCAGGTTTCTTTGCTTTCTATGGGACATTTAAAGAATAACCATTCAGACACCCTGTCTTCCTCAATAATAATGGGTTCTAACCATATTTCAGTTGATTAATGTCCAACAAACTCTTTATTAGACTTTCAGCTTAACCATCATGGCAAAAACGTTTTATCTCGATTTTTTGTATTTATGTATGTATTTTAGTGGTTAACATCTGTTAGCTTGCTTAAAAGTTATTTAGCTCTAATTAACTTCTGAGAAAAAGTTTACTGATACTATATTGAGAAAAGCAGCAATGTTTGTAACAATTTTTTTTATTGACATTAAATAACAAGAGTTAAAAAGAAAAGAAATGAAGTCAATAAGTTCAACTAGGTTTATATTCGTTCTAATGATGAAATGATCATTTATGGTTTATCTAATTAGTATGTACAACACGAAAACTAAGTCCTATATAGTGTTCCAAAATACGAAAATCCTGGCATATACAATTAGTTACCTTAATTAAACATATCTTTAGTTCGTTCTTAAAACTATTTAAGTCTGTTTTCAGTAAAATCATGAACAGATCTAAGTCAGACCACCATTGAAGACCTAGAAGCACTTCGCGACCATTTCGCTCTAGCATAGGATTCCTTAGATGTGCGCAACCACGACCTCGCGTGCGAATGCTTGACTTCTAAACCACAGGATTCAACGATGTTGATGCCAAACCTCAATTAATTCACAATATTGTGCGATCGACACGGATTTGTTCCACTAGTCATGGCTTTCATTAGAACTCCGGAAATTTCCTTTTAAAGCTAGTCACTGGTAAGGGCATGATAATCGTCAGTAAGGGGTTGTGAAAACTGTTAAATTTGACCGAAATCAACGTTAGATTATCATTAAGAACCTGGAAGCAATGTACGACCGTTTTGTCTTTGCACGAAACTTTGCAGTGCGCATCCACGATCTTGCACATGGAACTCGAACGCATTTTTTGGATAATCAATATTGTTTCACGATCATCAGCTTCTTTTTCTATGTATTTTCATTTGTCTACCTTTAAAGTAAAGGTACCAATTCGGTCTTATTTAAAAATGTCATGTAGCGTTTAAAGTGAAGGAGTTTCGTAGTTCACTAGTATTTGAATATATGTATCTTCAGTGAATTCATGAAAACAACTGAGTAAACAATGCCAAAATTTAAACATTCAATATTTCTGTATTAAATGCTGTAAATCATAGACGATAAAGTTTGTAAATATTCATTAATGCAATGTGATAGCTTTGTAATATTTTCATCGAGTTGTACGTTAATTTTTGCGTGGTGACTGACCTTTAGTTATAACCTACATCATCTTGTAACATGTTAAGTAGTTTCTAATCAAACCTTATCTCCAATTAGTTTAATTGATATATGGTTCTTTTTTCCTGGCTTGATAATTTTTGCATATTTGTATATGTTTAGTTTGTTGAATATTTTACTGATAGATAATAATAATAATAATAATAATAATAATAATAATAATAATAATACCAATCGACCATCGCTTTAGTAATGATTCTTTGTATTAATTAAATCATCCTAAAGCAGATTCACCTGACTAAGGTTTGAAATTTTTCGACTATATATATATTTGACGTATAGTTCTAGTGTTGTTTAACATTTACACACTTTTCTCTCATTCGACTGTTTTTAAATACTTTTCTCGAATTTTATTGCTTGCCTAAATGCAATAATCGTATGGATTTTTGACTGTAAAATACTGTTAAACATTTTACGAAACAATATAGTTAATAGAGATGCTTCAATATCTTTTCTCTATGGTATACACACATTTTATGTCTTAGGGGCTAATAAAAAAAAATATAGTTCATTTGAAACTTGTTTTCATATATGAACTAGGGAGTTGTACCTATTTTTCTGTAGTCATGTATGTGTATGTGTCTTCAAAATTGAACGGATGTTCAGAAATCGTCTAAAAAATGTTTATTGATGTTGCTTATTGCATGATCATGGAACATTTAACTTTTTTTGGAATTATTCAGGATAAGATGTTTCTAAATTAATTTAGATTTAAGTTTAACACTTGTAATACATGTGATTTCTCTAAAGTGAATAATATTAGAACTTATCAGGTAAATTGTCTTCATATACATTTGTACAACTGTTGTCATAAAATGCCGTTGACAATAATCTCAATTCTTGTAAGTGACTTCATGAATCATCTATCCCTCAACAGACTTTCCTCTTTTTAAATTTAATTTTAAACAAAGTCCTTAACAGTTTTTATTCTAGTTGATGAAGTTGTAAACTAGTTGTTGCATAATAGTAGGAATTCAAATCTTAAAATGAATAAACCGGACTTTTTTTCTCGTTGGATAGAGACAGACAGCATTCACATGATCATTTTTATCATTATTAATATACCTTTTTTTTCCAGCCCACTCTTCCTGACGATGAAATGGATGCAACTGTTGCTATATTTACAGCTTATCGTCATTGGCCTCCTTTAACTACACATAGAGATACTTTAAAAGGTGTTCTATATCAGTTAGATGCAGTAATGATGGAGTAAGTAATTCTTTCTTTGTGCATTGTAATCGAGATTATATCCGAATAAATTATTTATTTGAATAAGATAATAATAATAACACATTAACATGTGTTCATTTCCCTGTTGTCGAGGTTAATGGCCGCAGATAACTATTTTCTATTTCTCTTCTAATAGAGATTGAACATTTTCAGTTTTATCAACAAAAAAAACAAAAAAAACAAATTTATCATATTCTAATATTATTATAATTTTGGTCTTTTTCCATTTGACCCATTCTCCCTGTTACCATAGTACCATAGTATATGTTTCAATGAATAAATTTTAAATTTCATTATTTTTTTCTATTGTAGTTTTACACCTGTTGATATTTATCATTAATATTGTTTTCATTTTCTTATAATCACATGAATTTTAATGTTAAAATCATAATTCAATTAGGGCAAATGTCATCTTTTTGTCGTCATGACTTATTAATTTGAAGAATAAATGAGAATATTATGTATGGAATTAAGTGTTAACTTATACAGTAATTCTATTCATGGAAATATATCATTGTACAAGAAATTCATAATAATAATAATAATAATAAGTATACTTTTCAAATAATTTATAAATTAAAACAAAACAATTATGGTTTACTATTGGATTTTTGACTAGTCTTTCGTCTAACTGATGAATGCAATCATTGTATTAACTTCCGTTACAAATTATGGGAGTATTCTGTTCTTTTTCTTCTGTCTCGTTTTTAAAATAGTATATCATACAGAACAGAAATACATCTAGTTTGATTTTTATTTAGATAGAGTTTTCTCTAAGTTAAATGGTTTGATCGTGGAGCCTTCGTTGTTCTTCTGAACGACATCATCAGCACAAACTTCAGGTAGAAATGAAGTGTTCGGATTTCTCCACATAAGAATCACAGCTTGTCCAACCGACCTCGATCTTGATTGATTATTGCTGACCTTTAACTTCCTTATTTTGATTGTATCCACAGTTGTCCATATGCATTGATATAAGCAAGGATATGTCATCGTGTTTGACTGCTAATTGATGTTCGCGCAGGTGAGGATGGAGGGGTCGTCCACTTTGTCCGTTGTAGTGTTTTTTGCAGTTGGAACAATTTCCCTTTGTAGATGATATTCGGTATTTCTTTTCATTCCGTTCATCGGTATGCATAGGATTGATTGAAGTGATTTTGCTGGTTTGTGTGCTACACCTATCCTAAACGGCTTCAGTAATCTCGTTGTAATTCCTGAAATCTTTTATATATGGCAGGATGATCCGTTTGTTGGTTTCTGTACTTGATTTTATTTCTACTGATGCCTTGAGTTGATATTTTTTGATAAAGTTGATTGCGTAGTCGCTCCTTTAAAAGACAGTCTCTAGATATTTCTCTTCATTTTTCCACGCTCCAAGCGTGTTACAATGTTTCCTCGGCCTCTTGAATAAAGTTTGTACGCAGTTGATTTTGTGAGTTCTTGCGTTGTTGCTACTGTAATTGCTTTATAAAATACTGATAATTTATTTAAAAAAATATCTTTTGTACAACCATAAAAGTGGATGTGACATGATACTCAAGCTGAATTAAAAAAGAAAAGAAACACTTACTGCTGATGCGGACTGTATATAAAAGTGTTTGATGTGATTCAATGCACAGTCAAGGATGTTTATGTAGCTAAAAGGTATTCTCCCACTTTAAATTCTAGCTCTGAATCCCAACCCCTAGTTTTTATAAGTTTATAAACAAAACTGTAACTAAGCATCATTGAATCATAGTTGATGGCAGTTCGTGATGAAAACCCCAACTTTTATAACCAAAGATGAATAATGACTAGCAGTGGAATCCAGGATGCGCGTTTCGTCCTACTTGAGAGTCGTCGGCTGAATGTACTTGCATCTCAGAGTTGATGTTCACTCTGGGACTCGAATCTAGTACCTTTATTTTTTAACTTTAGTTCGCCTAATATACCCTAATTTAACCCTTCTTTGTTTACTATAATCAATGATGCACCATGTAATCACATCAAAGCTATTCATTCACTGTTATGCTATTGCTTTTTGTTGTTGATTCTTCTTTCTAACTAAATATTTTGTTTCTGATTGGCTAATTAAGTGGTTCCAGATCATCAGTATACTATACTCTTATCATAATTAATTGAAGGAAATCAATACAATCTGTTTTGACTATCAATAGTTTATGGAGATTGTTGGATTTCATAGGTAATATCATATATAGACTTCAGTTAGACAACCATTGAAAACTATGGAGCACTGGTCAGCTGTTTCCTTATAGTAATGGAGATACCATAGCAATGCACATCCACGACTCCGCCAGAAGTTGAACCCAGGATTTTCAGATCTCGTGGTAAGCGCTAAACTTTCAGACCACTAAACAAGAATCCAATAGTTTAGATTTCAAACTTTAATCACAATTCACTCACTGCCACAGCGAAGCCCCATACTGGGATGAAATAGCTATCCAGTGTTTCCTACTTTTCAGTGGTGTTCTTACTATAATCAGTCTATGATGTAAATATGAAAATCTATTTTAAAGGATAGAAATTTAATGAATGAATCAAATGCAGTATTATAACATCAATATTTAAAATTCCAATGGTTTACAAATTTCAATGATTATAACTTGTTCAGGTCATTGGTTTGAATTTAGGACCATGTAAAATTTTAGTTTAGACAGATGATTAATGACATCACTACTATCGATGCGTCTGTATCATTAATATTTCTGAGGTTGTGTTCAGCTTTTGTATCACTAACCCTTTCGGTGAAGGTATAATATACTAACTCTCTTGAGTTAACTAATCAGAACCAAAATGACGCCTCGTGTTTTGTTCGAAGCTAAAAAGTCCAATAATAGATAATGTGTATGTTTTTAATAATCAAGTGAAAATGGGCAATATTTAATTCTTAAAATCAATGAATATATATATTATACAAGGGAATTTTGTATGGTTCTTAAACTGAATTTTGAAACACCTACTCCTAAGGCAGATGTTTTGTTAAAGTACCAAATATTGTTCACTGCGTAATCGAAAATGTTTAATAAAGCTAGATAATGTTCCCCGTTTCTCACTCTAAGTATCATCCTTAAGTTTCTCAAGTTTGTAAGCAGAAGGTTGATAAAGCGTTGTATTGTAGCTGTTTTTAGTTCGTGTTAAAAACCCTGACCGTAATTTGTAAACTCAAATACCTAACTTTAACCCTTTTGCATTATGACTGATATCAGTTGGTGACGAAAATGTATGGGGTGATGACGCTACTCACAACAGTGACCCAACCCCTAATACGTATCCATGTATGTAAACTTACTCCTTTTTTCTTAACTACAAGTAATAATTTGAATTTTGACGGTTAATTATTGCGATGAAAGCTGTTATTTCATTATTTCGCATTGTTAATTGTTTTAGAACTGGAAAGCGTTTCCTAATTGGCTGATAATTCACCGATTTTCTACGTCTTTACTCTATAGCTTTAAAAATCGTATCTATTCTGGACATTAAAATATTAGTAGGCCATCAAAACTTCTTAGATAGGATCTTCATAATGCAACTATACAAATTTACTGAATCATTAGTTCTAAACTGATTCTGACTCTTCCATGTTCTGACTTGTTCTTAATCACATGCCGATCTAGATGATTGAATAAATACACTGTCTGTATTTATTAAATAGTTTGACAATATCGTTAAGGTCTATGTATAATTTAATGAAAGGAACATGTTTTGACAAAATTATTATCGTATTTTGACAATTAATCTAATTGAAACTTTCAATCACTTATAATTTGTACATGCATTGCATAGATTATCAGATAAATCTCTTGTATTCTTAATGAAAATGTTATTTGATTCACTTGATAAAAACCGCTTAGTTTGTTTTTCATCAAGTATCACTGTTTTCATGTGATGAATACATTGATATATATCTGTGTAAACATTTATGGAAAAAAACACATATGATCGTAAACTGTATGTATCGTTATTTTGTATACACACCTTCACTATATATCTGCACAAAATAGTGGTATGGATACTTGTTATATCCTGCAGAGAAAATAATTGGCTATTTCTCGCTGTACAAATGAATAAGAACGGATACGAGTCGATGTAAAGGAAGAAGGCAAGACCACAGATGAAAATTTTATTATGCACCTACCACGAATTCAAAAACTATTTTAATACAACAATTTATATCAGATTTATCTATCTGGTCACTTGGCAAATATAAATATATTTAACTAGGTAGACGTTGATATAAATTAATCAGTGACTAAATCCATGCACACAGTTTACAATGTCAATAGACTTGATTGGATTAATTAACAATACAATGAATTACTGAGTTACATATTTTCTGTTAGTAGTATTAGTATTTTTGTAAAAACGGTTACATATTCGAGTTTCCGGTTGCCCCACGGTAAAGTGTATTTACGAAAAACTGAGAATCTGCTTATACAATCCAGAGAATGGGAAACCGAATAGAGTGAACGTCTACCGCACAACAACACATCGACGTTAGTAATCTAGGCACCAACATGAGGTAAAGAAGAGATTTCAGAATTTCTTTATCATCTGAACGGAAGTCAACAATTGAAATTAAATAACTTTGTTTATACAGTAACGTGCGACAACTTGGAAACACATAACGTAGCTAACTAAGAACAACAACTAATCTGATAGCAACAAGGGCTTCTGCGGAAATCTAAATAGGAAAAGTGTTTGATTGAAGTTATTCCTAGAGAAAAAACAACGAGACCATAACACGTTGGCAAGCTAATCAGAATCGATTTCGGGATTTCAAAATCACGACCCATATTCGAATTCATAACGAACACCTACAATCGGTTTACTGGGCATTTCAAAGATGTTTTGATTTAGCATCTGCAACAAATGGGATTGTTGAGAAGCTCCATTATTTGTAATTGTGGAGTCGAAATGACTGCTTCAACCATGTGTAGAGCATTGCAGTAACGTAGCATTTCGGTTCAAATGTGTTGAGGAAAGAAATCATTAAAATTAAGGACATTTCGTCGTTCTCGAGACGTCATATGTATTTTCATAGACTGGATAATGAAAGGACCAGTGACTTTGGCTACTATTCTTGCTAATGTTACTGCAGCTTTGACAGTCCAGTGATACGAGTATTACAAGGAAATATGTGTTATCAGCATGAAAAACTTAAATGACTCGTTTAAAGTTGTAGAATGTATGGTAGATATCGACGAAACGTTTACTAGGAAACGTTGAATTTTAACTTTTCACTTCCGTTTGGAATATAAAGCTATTCTGAAAATCTCTTCTTTATTTATTTTTATTTAACATAACACATAGATATTGGTACAATGAGGCACCAGATAGAAATGAGACACATAAATCATTCGACTTGTGTGAGAGCTGGAATACTGCCCGGATGCCCAGAACGAAGCAGGTAGTTTTCTTAGGGGGCCACACCCAGCGCCTTCGACCTGAACGTCTGATCCATAAGGCAGCGAAGAAACGTAAGGAGATGCAGTCCCATGGTAGCCGGTGACCAACGATTGGTTCATACACCATTTGTTCCTTCAGGATGGTGGAGCCCATGTGCACCATTGGTTTGGAATCAGGGTTTTCCAACTTCCCTAGGTGAACTCTCCATGTTCACTAACCCGGTTAGAGCGCTGGAAATTCTCTTCTTGTCCTATCAATTTAGTAAACAACATCCCCGCCACGAGAAGACAATGAGTAGGAGTTTTCTGGCAGAGGCTATGTACGCGTGGCCATGTGAAAGCATTTCGAGAGGGAGAGCCGACTCTCCTCACTCTCGGCCGTACGAGGGCATTGGGGGACCTCTTCTTCTTTACCTCATGTTAGTGCCTAGATTACTAACGTCGATGTGTTGTTGTGCGGTAGACGTTCAATCTATTAGGTTTCCCATTCTCTGGATTGTATAAGCAGATACTCAATTTTTCGTAAATACACTTTACCGTGGGGCAACCGGAAACCCGAATATGTAACCGTTTTTGCAAAAATACTAATACTGCTAATAATAATTATTATTAACTGTAGTTTGGAACCGAGTACAGAAGTTTATACTTAATAAATGAAAGATAAATAATGTACTAGTGTTGGTGTGGGTCACCGGGATGTTCTACATATAGGGAAACCATAGTGACTCATATAAATCTGGGTCATCTTTAGCTCTGTACTGTTGTTGGTATGACTTTAATGTATCGGGTATACAAAGCGTCCATGAAAGTAGTTCTGATTCATGTCTGTAAAACCTGAGCCTTCTGAACCATTGATATTCAGCGACTTCGTGTTTGATTATCGCCATGCGAATGATTTCTCACATTTGACACCAACACCATGTATTTAATCTTGAAGTTCTGAATCTAAGAGAAAAGCAGTTAGGTGGTTAGTCTTGTGCGTGATTCTGTGATATGAAAGATACCTGTATAGGACTAACATCTATCGGTTACGATTCTTTGGTTAGAGTCCTAAAGCACATACAATTCAGCCTATTACTGTCCTATGATTTCTGAAATTAACTTGTTGTCTAAGTGATATAACATTTTTTGCAAACTGTTTACACGTGTGCTATTTTTTTTTCTTTATATCCCGAAATAAAATAACAAATATTTACTTAAATATAGTGAGCAGTCGCAAAGAAAAGGACTTGTGGTACTGTACGATATGCGTGATACAAAATATTCCAATTTCGATTATCATCTTTGCATCAAATTGTTGAATTTATTCAAAGTAAGTTTTGTTTTTGGTGGCTTATCTATTTAATTTCACGGTAATCTTCATCGTAAAATGTAATCGTCACCTAATGTAGAGTGCTATTGTAATTCAAGGTAGTACTACTCGATGGAGGTTTGATTCTTATTTACCCAGTGACACACCAACTAGAGATCGAATATGGGTTGTGTCATCAATTCTCACATGAGACAAATAAAAGTCACCTGTACACTTATCGACTGAGTTGAATCGATTACTGAAGAGCTGTTTACAGTTTTTTATAATTACTGTCAGACAATTAGACAAAGTATCATTGGTGATTTCGTTATCGATTGTCACATGCCTTGCCATACGCACACACGCACACTGTTTACTTTCCGATTGATTCAATGTGATTTAGAAAAAAATCTCACAGAAGATGATAGTTCGTTTAGATAAAACTCATTAGTTGTTTGTATTTGTGAATTTAGCGAAATTAAAATCTGAATTGTTATGATTGAATGTTCATTGTTTGATTCAATGTGACCTACAGCTTTGCAGAGAGTAAAGGCTTATTTCTGTACCATAGGCTTTCCTCTAGGCTCACTCTTAAACAAATAGGTATCATTATAATCCTCATTTTTAGAAGAAAAACTAGTTATAGAGATTATTATTATTACTCGTAGGTTCAATTTCAAGTCATTTGTGTGTTTTCTAAACATACGTCAAATATTCCCTTTATATTCTAAAGATTCCAGATTTGATCCCAGTAGCGACGGAATAAATGCAAAACTTATTAATGGTTGGTGACTTATTGTTGTTGAGGTTCAGGACTGCAATCAGTCAGTTTCTGTTGCCATACGTACATCCTGAACGAATTGCCTTTTGTCACAAGTTTTAATATATTTAAATTTTAGTTGTCAATGCAAACTAGTATGTGCGTTCCGTCCCACCTTAGACTCGTCAATGTACTTCGATTTAATTATTTTTTCATGGCTGTGCGCTAATATATTTATGTATGATTTACAACAATGAAATAATACTCATCGATTAGTTATTTTATGTAATAATTATATAATGACATATTGATTATAAAATAACATTGAGCGACCGGAAGAAAGAGGATTATAATAATCAAAGTTATTATTCGGAAATGAAACAGTTGCTACGTTGCATAATATATAAAAAGAAGGAACTAACAAAATATTTTGATGAAAGGTCAGTATTATAGTAGTTATGTAAGACATCAAGGGACGAATGTTCAGAATAGGTAAAATACAAAGGTGGAAGAAATTAAAATGTGCTGACGTTCTGTGTCATCCGTTCACAATTATATTTAACAGATCCTTCTCATCTAATCTCATACCGAAAGTGTGGAGAAAGATGAAGATAATTCCTGTACCCAAGAAAGCATTTGGTGATAAGAATGTAAAATTTAGACCTATTGCAATAACTTCACCCTTCCTCAAAACCATGGAAAAATTATTAATTCTTCCACTTCAGCCTGCGATAAAAGAGCATACTGACCCATACCAGTTTGCATACAGGCGCAAAAGAAGCACTTTAGATGCTGTTGCAGTTCTGCATCACAACATAGTGTTCAACTTAGAAAAGGGTAAGAAGTATGTTCGATGTACTTTTCTGGACTATACTTCAGCTTTTGACTCTATACCAAGACAACGATTACTTAACAAGTTAATCAGCATCAACACTGACAGCTGGATAACCAACTGGCTATGTTCCTACCTCTCTGGAAGGGAACAATACACTGTGTTTGGAGGAAAGAGTTCAGAGTCTCTACTGTCTCATGAAGGTGTACCACAAGGAGCTGTTCTTTCACCTCTTCTATTCTCTTTTTTTCTCCATGATCTGCCATCTTCCACAGAAAACACTTTTGTGAAGTATGCGGATGACCTCACTGTATGTATGCCTATATCTTCCTCTTTACATCCCATAGAAATGAATGAGTTTTTGTCTCGTATTGATTGTTGGTCTGTTGGTAATGGTCTCATACTTAATCCGTCTAAATGTCAAGCTGTTAACTTTAGCATGAGACATAAACGGAATATAAACACTATTTTGAGATCCCATAGTGCTTGTACCATCGGAGACTCTTTGATAAACTCAGTGTCGAAGGTCAATTATCTTGGTGTCACCTTTTCCTCTGATCTGTCTTGGTCTTCCCACGTTTTATCGTTATCGAAGAAGGTTTTCCGTCTGACCTATTACATAAAGAGATTGCATGCTCTTGGAATTACTCGTCATTTACTCTTACAATTTGTCAATTCTTGCATACTACCTATTATTCTTTACTGTTCTCCATTATTCTTTCCCGGGCTTTTGAGAAAAGACTTTGCTGTATTGCGAAGAGTGCTGAAGGCAGTTAGCAAGGTGTGTGGTGTATCTTTCGAGGTCATAATTAATATGGTTGTGGATAGACATTTAAAATCATGCAAACTCCTGGCAGGTGTCATTTTATCAGATACTAGCCATCCCCTTCACTCTTATCTTTCTCCTTGTATATCTTCTGGTAGAACGAGACGTAATTACATTAAAATCCATGCACGCAAGCAAAAGTACAAATGTTCTATAATACCTTATCTAGCAAATATACTCTGTGACGAACAGGTTGTTAGAGTTAACCTAGCCAATAACCTGCATTCTTAACATGACTTTAATTTCAAATGTTGTACTGTTTTTCAGATTTTTTTTTTAAACTTTATTTTTTTGTCTTTGTTACTATTTTTGTTTGCATAAGTAACTTGTTGAAATACCCTGTGCTGAGAATTCTATATTGTACCAAAATATAATATTGAATAAAGCCATTAATAATAATAATAATAATAATAATAATAGAAAATAGTATAAATACTGCTGAAGGAGATTTCATCGAAGATCTGCTACCAACCCACTCCTATACCGGTAGACAAGGTAGCGAGAGTGATTGCACAAACATCTTTCGGATGCAAAGGTTTAGTTTGTAAGCATGGATTCCAATGGCTTCAGAAATGTGCAAAAGACGAACTCGTAAACCATGTGGTAAATTTGATGGAATATGGTGGATAACCTTAAAAACTTTATTCAATCCAACTTGATGACCTATGTCCACCAAGTGAGCGAGAATAGAACTCTTAATCACTCCTACCTGTCCTTTGCTCAACCAAGACAGATGATGTTCTGTTATGAAATGACGGACTTGCCGAATTGTACGCCCTATAAAACTGGCTCCACAGTAGTTGAATTGGTAAACACATATGGATGTGGCGAATTCAGGCAATGTCCTTACTATGGGACGGTTGTAAAAAACGTCACTCAGTACGGCCGCATTAAATGTTTTCTGTACCGCTTTTTTAACCATTGAGTCACAATTTCCTCGGTAGCATCATTTAGGAATTGTAATTTTAAGAGCTCTCTTCCTCTCGAAATGCTTTCACATGGCCACGCGTACATAGCCTCTGCCAGAAAACTCCTACTCATTGTCTTCTCGTGGCGGGGATGTTGTTTACTAAATTGATAGGACAAGAAGAGAATTTCCAGCGCTCTAACCGGGTTAGTGAACATGGAGAGTTCACCTAGGGAAGTTGGAAAACCCTGATTCCAAACCAATGGTGCACATGGGCTCCACCATCCTGAAGGAACAAATGGTGTATGAACCAATCGTTGGTCACCGGCTACCATGGGACTGCATCTCCTTACGTTTCTTCGCTGCCTTATGGATCAGACGTTCAGGTCGAAGGCGCTGGGTGTGGCCCCCTAAGAAAACTACCTGCTTCGTTCTGGGCATCCGGGCAGTATTCCAGCTCTCACACAAGTCGAATGATTTATGTGTCTCATTTCTATCTGGTGCCTCATTGTACCAATATCTATGTGTTTGATAAATAAATACATAGTGCACTCACACATTTAAAAAAATTATCATATCGTTTCGTTTTACCACAAATAAAGGTGTTTAGTTAATATATCAGTTGAAAAAGCCTAACTAACTTGAATTATAACTGATTGGTTGATTTAGCAGTGTGCGATAGTTTAGTTGCAATCATTCAATAATTCATCATAATGTCACAGTTGCTGTTAATACTTATTTACACTTTTCGGTATGGTATAAACACATGTAATATTACAGTCACAATGAAAACCTTTGACTTTGGAACTACACTAGTTTCGGGAACAGATACCTATTACGATTTTAAAACTTGCTTAATAAGATTCGATCATCATTCGGAATTAGACAAATACGAGAATGTTTTCTATTCAGCAGTTAATCAGTACAAGTATCTCAGTCACTCCAATAAAGTGATCATTTTTTATCCTGATAGTTCATTAGTAACATTTTTCACATTGGTGATGTTAGGTCAAATACAACAGGGAACACCAGGACCCTGAAAATTGTAGATATACACCTTATTATGGACTGCCAACTATCGTGAAGCCCAAGATTGATTTCTCTTGCCGATCGCTTCCAAACATATATCATGTTTAATTTAAACGGTCTTTGTATTTCGTGCAAATCAACTCTCAGTTAGTCTTCTCGTTATTTGTCTTTATGTCATGTAGCCTCTTGATTATAGATACTCAGGATTGCAGCCTTAGACCTGTAAGTTGAAAGTTGATTAGTGTTACTCATAATCCGTTGCTCCGAAACTAATTCAGTTAGGATTTATCAGCTTGTCGATGCCACTAATGAACTTTCGATGAAAATGTTCCTTTTTACTCACGTTTACATGTCGATTTTTTATCCCTTGTATGATTTATCTCTTGTGTTATGTGCTTAGAGGCAACAGGTAGAAAACCGATCCTTTGAACATGGTGTAATCTGCAATCTTAAGAGCACTTATGCTCTTTGTGAGATTCTAATATTACGCATACTCAACTATTACCTATGTCGACGCTCGATGTTTTATGGTATAGTAGTAGATCTAAAAAAGGCTATAAACGGCCAAAACAAGACTTACTATCAATCCATAAAGTCATTAACTATAGTACTTGGCCCTGTTGCTATCTCTAAACGTCCTGTGATTGAAGTCTATGGGATTATCGTAAACCATGGTTTGAGACTTTTGATGAACTAGGTCCGAATCAGTTCGAATATAGCACGTGCCTTCATTCTTAATCTCCCCATAGTTCAAGAGTTTCTAAATAAATATCCTGTACGCCTAACCTTCATTTTTCCTACTACTTTGATATTCATCTTTATAGTTTCATCTCGATTTACTGATTTTATGTGGCAACCAACTTAGACTGGTAGACATAAGCAAAATTTAAAATCTAGTACATATGCCTGTGCATTGCCTTTTTGGATTTGAAGTTGGACTTATTAGCTACAAAACGTTTTTCTCTCTGATATACATTTTTCATTTGTTTTGTTTTTGTTTGTCCATGTATGTGCAATGTTTATGTCACTCTTATCCTCTACATAGGGTGTTTATCCAGCTCGTCTACGTAAAGTGATTATCATTGAACCACCATTTTGGTTCCGAGCTCCATTCAATGTACTGCGATTATTTGTTCGTGAAAAAATGCGAGATCGGGTAAGTTTTTAATTGGATTCTATTTAAATAGTCAACAATTATCATTTTTAGTATGGGGATTTGTGATGATTGCAGTATCTTAACAGTTGCATTCACGAGTCGATATAAGCTAGATCACCATTGAAAACCTGGAAGCACTGGATGACCATTTCGTCCCTGTATGGGACTCCTCAGCAGTGCTCATCCACGATACTGCATATATATATATATATATATATATATATATATATATATATATATATATAAGAGTAGAGGATATTCGTAGGCTACTAGTATTTGGTCATAGGTGTCTTCGAAACATTGCTCGTATATCCTGGGACCATCGAGTAAGTAACGCAGTTGTTAGGAGACGGGTACTAGGTAAGGATGGCAAATCAATTGATGAAGTAGTGAAACTTCATCAGTTGAGATGACTGGGACACGTGTTACGTATGCACAACGACCGACTGCCTCGACGTGCGATGTTCAGTGGTATAGGAGTAGGTTGGAAGAAAGCTGAGGGCGGCCAGATCAAAACATGACACAAGTCCATGAAGTCACTGACAAGTGGACTGAGTGAGCCATGTTAGTAGGTGTAGACTACCTGGTTGGGGACCACGAGAGGATAGCAACCGATGGTTAGAGACCCTGAATGACATGGCTCAAAATCGTTTGCAATGGCGCAGGTGCATACACCCTTTGTGTTCTCCCAAATTTTGATCTCCTTATTCCTCCTTTTCTGTTTTTTCTCTTCCCAAATTTATTTCACTGTATTATGCTCTTTAAATAACATCTCCAAACCCTAATCTTCCGATTACTGCTTATACTCTTACTACCTCTACCACTACGGGATTTGAATCGACCACTGCATCTCTGTGCTAATGTGGTATGGCAACTCGAACTGATGTACGTACGTACGAAGTTCTACGTTGTTACTGACTGATATATATGTATATATATACGATTTGATAAGAACTATTTTACGGGTGGAATTACCAGTGTAAAAATGTCTTAAAGTGTAAGAGGATTTGTTGAAATATTCCATGTTTCCTACTCAAAATTCATCACTGTAACGATAAATGTAATATGAATTTGAATAATAATAATAATAATAATAATAATAATAATAATAATAATAATAATAGTATTATTGTTATACTTATTATTGTTATTATTATTATTATTATTGAATAACACTAGCACATGATCCCATACTCAATTATTATCCACAGTTTTGCGTGTTTGAGAGAGAGATACATGGAAAGGGCTAGTGAATGATATAGCCTAATAATTGCCAAACTGAAGTGAATAGAAGAGAATTTTTATTGGAAGTTTTTTATTGACTGTAAGGTAAAAAATATTTTTAAACCATTCATTAGACCTACACAGTTGTAATGAGTTTTAAATCATATCACATTTAAGAATTATGTAACTACTGATTTTTACTTTCTCTTATCAGAAGTTTAATACCAGCGTGTTTTAATCTTTACTTTCTTGCATGATTTTAACACAATAACAAAATTCCGTGTAGTTATCACAAACTTCTGTATTGATATTATTTTATGAAACCGTTTAGAGTTTATTCACATTTGTATATATTAATAGGTTAGACATATTCCAATTTTTCTAATCGAATTGATAAATTACATACTCAAGCTAACTCGATACTCCATTTTGTTGTTGTTTTATCAAGCATTTGTACGGGATAATTGTCTGATTGACACTTGAATAGACTTAGTGTGATTTGAAATCCCTCAACAATCGGTAAACCTGTTAAAGTAGACTTAATCTATTCAGAGATGAGAATAAACCCTGGACAAGTAAGTAATATGATCAAACGGAAAGGTAATCAGTAGAAAACTCCAACTAATCAATGGTATGCTTGTTGACAACCGCAAATTGAATTCAACATTCGGCTAATAAGCTGTCCATAACTTATGGGGAGATTATAATTGTTTTTATTCCTCTCTTTGTTCTGGCGATAATGTCGAGACAGGCAGTTAGTCAGTCATAAGGGACATAGAAATTGACATTCTTGTGCTTCGATCAAAGTTACCTGCCACGAAACATTAACACAGTGATACGAAGTTATTACAATGAATACCAAAAAAATAGTAGAATTAGTATAAGTATAACCTCGCGAACTACAACCACGTAATCCATAACTACCAACACATCTCAGCGCAACAGTGGATAATTTCTTAGATTAATGCCATACCATGTTTTAAACGCTTTTTGCTTACTTCCAATCTATTTCTACAGCAGTCAATATCACGCATCGATATAGACAATTTTCGGGCATACGTAAAACACATCTCTACTACTTCAGTCGATGAATATTCATAGCCTCATCAACTGATTTATCATATTCTCTTTGTACTCTATGCTTAACCTCATCATTACTTGGTCGTTTCACGACGTGCGAGCATTTCTTCGAAGATACAATCAAAAATTTCCAATCAACACATATTCTATTTTATAAACAATGTTTCATAGCGTTAATGTAAAACTTGGTATTTAAAACCAAAATATATTCGTAGGTTATCACTGGTAGTTGATCATAGATGTCTTCGAAGCATCGTTCACGTATGTTGGTACCACTAATTGAGTTATTCTGAGGCTAGTCTCTGGGCACCAAATAAAGGCAATCAGTTGTAAATAGTGTGAATGTGTATCGAATGATACGGTTTCAAGAATAAAATAAAACCAACTATTGAACTCACGAGGAATATATATCTCACCACCAACGACAACATGAGGAAATCATTCTCCTATGCTATAAATCCCTTTGCCAACACTACCATTAACTCTACTATGCACTGCTACTAGCAACCTTGTAAGATAAATTGTTGTAGTTCTTATCATAAGCGGTTCGTAAAATAACGAAATATACACACTTTCTTTCAATCCATATATATATATATATATATATATATATATATATATATATATATATATATATATATAATAGACATTCTTGCGTTTGCCATGACCAAAAGCTAGCAAATTTTTTCATGGCTTTCTTTCCACTCATTTCTTTCTTCAAGTCAAACAGAAAATGTTGTTTAAGTCTTGATTTAGGCAAAGCAGTTTCACTGGGAAAAAAATCATTCGTTTCTCTATGTGTTTTGTCTCTAATGTTGTTGTTCACCTGTATTTTCTAGAAACAGATTTATTATTAATTAATTAATTAATTAATTAATTATTATGTGTATAATACACTGACAAATTAATTATTCAATTGACTTAGTTATTTAGTTATTAGACTCTTATCCCTTCGACGCGTAATGATTTCATGCGTGGGTGGAAATATACGGAATAGAAAATTATTTATCATATGCATGTGTCTGTCTATCTCCTCTAGATTGCTTTTATTACCTTATACACCTGTAGTTTATGTATGAAAATGAGCAGTAGGAGGATAAGAGTTTAATGTCTTACTTGATGGATATTCCCATGTACAAAAACTATTTACATTTGTTTATTTGAATGAATGTTGGTTGATTGTATGATTCTGTTTAGTAACTGGATAGTAGGTAAGAGAACATGCGCATATACATTGAATAAATCCTTCTTTTTTTTCATTTTTCATATGTTCTGGTTTTAATCTGTGTGTTTGAATGTACACAATTTTTTCCATCTGATGTTTTTTAGGCTGATGGATACATTTTGGCTGCATTTTATTTTGCAAATCACAATATCATATAAATTTAACATATTTATCATTTTGTGATGGGATAACTAATTATTTATCAATATTCGATGGATGTTTTAGTGTTAAGCATGTTCGTTCGTGTAGTATACACGCATGTGTACGTGCGTGTTCTATTAAAAGGTGTTCCATATCTTAGATGAATTAGGTGGCATTCTATTAAAAATATGTATCGGTGAGAAATTTTTTGCATGTCTTCAGCTAAATAAAAATACTACAACCTCCATAAATTCCCTAAATTGATAAATGATAAAACATTGCAGACGCATCTAAACATACAGACGTTATGATCATATTCGCACTTAAATATTTCAATGGTTGAGATCATGAGTCAGTTGAAGCTAGATCACCATGGAAAACCTGGGCTCATTGGACGGCCGTTTCGTCCTATTGTAGGACTCCTCAGCAATGCTCATCCACGACCTCGCCCCCCTTGCGAGATTCGAACCCAGGACCTACTGGTTTCGCGCGCGATCACTTAACCACTAGACCACTTAAATATTTCACTAATAAGATGATCAATTACATTCAGTGATCACAGACTAGTAACAAATGTCGTATTTTGTCAAGGCCCCAGTGCTGACAGCATTTCATCAATCAAGTTACAGTCGCTGCTAGTTTATAGATGACTTGACATCTCATACACTATGACAATCTCGAAATTAGTATGCTTGCCCTTTATATTCTCTACTTATCTTCAAAAACAGAACCCACAGTGTGTTTTGTTGAAATGCATATAATGTATTCCCTAGCTCTTTTCTATCGATATCAGGCAATATCATATGGTGTTGAAGTAATCAGTTCTTCAATTTAATTCTGTTCAGCCACACTTTCTACGCACAATCAAATAGATTGAAGATTCAAATCCCTATTCCGTCTACTTTGGCTTAGGCATTTGGGGATGTAGTTTCATGCACCTTCATATACAAGCAGTGTGTCAAAACGTATTAATCAATGCATCCTAGATGAATTGGTATTTATGTTTATATTTATATGTTAAGTCTAGTTATGTTACATAAATTCTTGGACTGAAGTAGACATTTACGGGATTCGAACCCATAGCCGAAATCAAACTCCATAACAATTAGGTTTTTGTGTTTACATTATGACCAAAAGTAACCCAACAAATATCATTCAGTTAACAAATAAGTTGCTCTTTAAAAATAATAAAATACGTAGACTAGAAAATAGATTTATTTTTATTTTAAACATTGCCCCACTCACTTTTTGCTCCGAAAAAAACTGCATTGTTCATAATTTTAAAGAAAAAACGGACTACTTGTGTAATATTCTATGTTAGCGTTGTAATGGAAAAATAGAATAAGTTTTTGCTTGGTGTTCGTGATCTTATATTTGACAGTATATAATATAATTTGATACCGGATCACCTAATGATGGACAATTAGATCAGTAGATAGATCAAGGTATTAGATAACATGACTCAGTGATAAAATTATCCGATTATTGAGCAGAAATTAAGCTAGAATGATAATGTACTTATACAAGGTATAAGGCCAGTCAGTACACATTAAGTCAGTATAGGATCCGTTTCACGCCTAAATTAGTCTCCTATTTCTAACACAGCTCTATATGTTTATCTTCGTTCATTGTACAGTTACATGTTTTTTTCATCTGATGCATCGGTTTGTTTTCTGAGAGTCCGGGCAACGAGAATAAACAAGTATATTTCTGGCATCATTTGAAAGCACAAGAAGAAAAAACGTAACAGAGTGGTAGTGATGATGATGGAGCTAGAGAAGATGCTTGATAAATAAATATCATACCTGCGTGTTCATCATGAACATTGGATTGAGTAAATGAATGAAATTAGGATTCTGCAAAATAACTAAACATAACGTTAGTATGTGCATTTATACCACGATGGTTGACTTCTTAAACAATTGAACTAATAAGTCTTGAGATTTAGGTTCTTTTGGGCCTACGATTATAGTTCTCCTATAATACCATCGGGAGCTACTACAAACTCGGTACTACCGGTCACTGATACTCAAAGCGCTTCCATAATTAACCCCAACGAGATGAAACCCAAGTAGAAAACATAAATGTAAAAAAGCTTGATATTTAACATAGTTAATTTGAAAAGAACAACTCTCTCTCTCTCTCTCTCTCTCTCTCTATATATATATATATATATATATATATATATATATATATATATATATATATATATATATATATATATATATATATATATATAGTAATATGTGATGATCTTGGGAAATAATAGAATTTCAATGATTAAGATCATGAGTTAGTTGAAGCTAAACCACCACGGAAAACCTGGATGCCGGCTTAGTGGTCTAGTGTTTAAGTGCTCGCGCGCGAAACCAGTAGGTCCTGGGTTCGAATCTCGCGGTGGGGCGAGGTCGTGGATGCGCATCGCTGAGGAGTCCTACAATAGGACGAAACGGACATCCAGTGCTTCCAGGTTTCCAAAGGTCGTAGTCTAACATCAATCGGTTCATGGTCTCAATCAAAAACTAAATATAGTAAGTTGTCTATTGACACTGACTTTAATTTATTACAATGAATTTATTCAATGACTGTATGTATTGTAATTTAGATTTACTCAATATAAAGCTTCTTAAATCTTTTAACAATTCTAAACGATCTGACGACATCAATTTGGATGTAGTATATTGATTTTATTTGTTAAGTTAATTAACTTATACATAGAAATATTTATTTCTATGGATTCATTCTCATATTTTTTAAATTGTTGTACCAATAAAAGGAATGATTTTTTGTTTAGTTTAAAAGTTAATTTTACTTTTGTCTTCATCTCAAATCGACAATGTTACAATTTAAAAATCAATAAAAATTAATGAAGATAGTAGTAACTCCCAATTGTCTTGTTATTGTTTAGAAGTTCTAAAGTACTCTTTAAGAAAAACTATAGGAACTCAGCAAACACTGATAAATATTTTATCTAGTCAACGTTGAATAGAAGCTTTTCAGGGATATCTAGAAATTAAAGTTACATGTTACGTTCCTGATTGGGTGATTACCTATCCTGTTACTATATTTAGTTCAGTTCCAGAAACTTCCGGAAGCCCGAGGTCGTGTGTAACTCAGTAAATACCCTCTTTTTTTGTGTACATAAACTAAACTTAAAGTAAAGAGTTCTTTTTGCATCTCGCTCCTTTTCTTTTGTGTTATTAAAAGCGACTATTAAGACGGACCAAGCATTTATTTAGCAGACTTTCTAGTTATAGTCTGAGGAGATAATACAAACAGTATACACCACGACTCTAGAACCTGTGACTGTAGGTGTTCTCTTGTGTACAATAGGTTATCTATTTCATTTAAGGTGAGAAAAACCAACAACAGAATATGAGGTAGTCTAATCAGCTTTTTTTACATTTCTATATTTCATCTTATTATCTTACCTAAATTTTGAAGATTTGCTCTAGAAGAAGAGAAAGTTGTTTCAAGTGCTTTTGCCCATATTATCAAGTCCTTTCAGTCCGTTATACATTTACATATTTTGTTAATTTAATAGTGGATCCTAATAGCTAGAAAATAGTTGGTTATCAATCAAGGGAATGCCACTTGCTTAAATCCTGTTTGATGTGCTTTGGTTTGACCTTAATTTCACATGCCTTTAAATGTTCTGAAAAATAATTTAAATTCATTTTGTATTTATCTTCTGCTTTCTGCTAATTATCAGTTTACAGGTGCCTTATAGAATCACATAGTTCCCGAATGTTCAAATTCTCCCTTTTCCGCCCCCGCCTAATACGGGTTCGTGTCGAAAACTTATCCCAAGTGTTTGTACATCACTTCATCTAGTTCGGTTTAGGTATCCGGGATTCACACTTCACATACTATACACAAATTATGCTTTAAGTCTACTCTTGTTAATTAATTGATTTCGATAGTTGAATTTATGAATCGATCTAAGATGGACCACCACTGAAAACCTGTAAGCACTAGATGGCCATTTCGTCATAATTTGGGACTCCTCAGCATTGTGCATCCACGACATCGTACATGAGACTCAATTACAAGAATTTCGATCTCGCGCACTAACGCTTAACCTCCATACCACTGAGCTGGCATTCAAATGTGTTAATGTCTAATTTCAATCGATCCATAACTGTACCCCACACAGATGAACTCTACTGGTCACGGCTTATAACTAGAAGTCCAGGAGGTCTTGGGTTCGTGTGCCTTTGGCGCGGCATTGTTGATGCGCATTGCTGAAGAGTCCCATACTAGGACGAAACGGCCATCCAGTGCTTCTAGGTTTTCAGTGGTGGTCTAGCTTAGATCGACTCATGAATTCAACTATTAAAATTACTACAATCTCCACGATTCCATATTTCTGATAACTAATTAATTATTTAATTGACTAGCTAATGAATTAAATATATTCATCTAATCCAATTTTATTGATTTGATTTTAATTTTTAGATATATTCTGTTGGTTATGATGAATTAAATGTACATTTGCCAAATTCCACATTGAAACGTTTATTTGGTCAATTAACATTAAACCAACATTTTGATTGGCTATTAAATTGTTTTAAACGTACTGGTCATTTTTCACGTATGCCAACTGATTATTTTAAATTGTCACAATTATCATCATTAAGACCATCTGATTCAATTTATTCAGCATTACATAATCCTTTATTAGGCAATGAATTGATTGTTCAACTTGACTTATACAATAATAATTATAATCATGAAAATGTCGATGATAATACTGACAAAATAATTACTACTAATACTATTACTAATGGTAGTATTAATAGTAAGGATATTTCTCTGTCTTCTATTCATGGATCATTACGTGTTCCTATGAAAAATCGACGATGTTCAGATGATTTTTTACATACAACTATCATAACATCTTCGTCATCATCAGCTATAACGACAATATCCAGATCATCATTATCTTCTATGGTTCATGGATCAACACAGCCACAATATTATAACACAATAAATGAAAGTATTTCACCATTATCACGACTAATAGGGGATACTATTGGTTTACAAACATCACCATTACCACGTCGTGGAGTATTAACTAATAATCGTATGACTGATTCAATGTTTGAAGCATCTATTAGTCATAATAATAAAGATTGTACATCATCATCAACATCATCTATGTTTCATAATGAACGACGTGTATTCTATCGGTCTGATCGTCATCTTTCTCATTCCAACTCATTTAGACACAGAACTAATACAATAACAACATTAGCTAATAATATCAGTAGTATTAGTAATGGTTCAATATATTCCACTCATTCACCTTCATCTAAAGATCAATTATATGTTACAAATCCTTTATCGGAAACACGTTTGTCTGTATCAGAATTTATCACTAGAGTGCAAAGTGTTGGTTCTATTGGATTAACTTTAGAATTTGATGCATTATTTAAAGATAGTCCTGTAAAAGGTGCTTGTACGCGTTTTGCGTAAGTTGTTTACAACTGTTTATTGTTTGAAAGAAAAATCACTTATTCATTGATATCCCAATGGCACAATAAAAAGGATTTATCTTTGTTATAGATTTCTGTAGAAGTAGTAATAATAATTGTTGTAGTATTAATGGCAAGACTTCAGCAAATTTATGGGTTGCCTTGCGACTAGCCAGTCAGTGATAACCAATACGAATGCAGCTTTCATTTAAGAGCTCTAAAATGTAAAAACCATAGAAATGCAGAGGATCAAAAGTCTTAAAAACATTAACGAACTTGGTAATGCTAAGTATCAATAATTCAGGCTGAAATCAGGATGGACCCTGATTCTTAGCTCTGCATCTTTCAAAATGTAACTCCTGACTTTGAAACCCCTAAACCCCGGCTCCTAACTCTAGAACTCGACCATACCTCCTTACCCTAAAACGTCCTAACCCTAACTCCTAACTATTAAACCTCTAGACTTTGGCTCCTAACCATACTACTTCTTAACACTGCTCATCAACACTAATACTTCTAACCATAACCCTGGTTCCTAACCCTAGAACTTCTTAACGGTAGATCCTAACCCTAAAACTCGTAACCTTAACACTCCTAATCCAAACAAACTGACCTTAACAGATCATTCCACAGGGAAAATATCATCCAATCCTTTCAAAATACGAGATATGGTGAGAATCATGAGCTTTAGTAACAAGCTATTTGGAATAGTGCTTTAAATTTGCTCTTCATTCTTATTTTGATTGATCGCTCAGGGCCTTTGGTCTTACAATACTGCTTATGTGCTTTTTCTTTTCATCAAGTTGCCTCACATTCCCCTTAGTCACTAGTTGGAGCTATGCATGATTTAGTTGAAATATTTGAATTTCAACCAGGAACATTTTTTTAGTTTGACATTTCTCAGTCTGTATACACTAATTTACATGGCGTCGAACCCAAGCCTTTCACTTTGAACTTTTATCACCGTAGTATCGTATGTTTTTCTCTTGATTGTATATGTTAGTTCAAGAGAAACAGTTCAATTCACCAACGGTTCTGTTTCTTTTTGTTCTTCTTTATCTGTCTTTCTGATGATTATTTACATCAGAAATTAACGTTAGATATATAGTGAATCAAGGTGATACAAAATACTTATTCCATTTGGGTAATTTACACATTTTGCGCTCGTCATGTGACCTAAAGGTTTTGATGATCTGAATGAAACCAAATGAGAAAAACAAATTTGTACTAATTATATATGTCAAAGAAAAGACTTTGAAATATTTCCAACGCGATCAGTTATGTATAATTTTAAAAGTAATTCCCAATAAAATAATTCTCAGGCTTAATGTTAAGTCACGTGTATGTCAAATTATAAACAGATCATTATGTGAATGTTAGCAATTAGTTAGATCATTCTGTATAAAAGAGTTAGTTTAAACTAATGAAGTGTTGAACAAATTATTGATGAATAGAGAATTACTTCATTAACATAATATTAAAATAAACACTAATTGATCGTACATATTTGTATTTATGCCAGAAATCTAATTGTGTAATTTTTAAGTAATGTTCTGCATTTTTCCACAATTTGTTTCGCATTTTAAATTTGAATGTGGCAAAAATAGGAATGGTAATAGAATAATCGATGAGTTCCCGCTAGTTATTCACAACGTTACTTACTTACTTCCTTACGCCTGTGAACTCTCATGGAGGAGTATAGGCCGTTCACCAGCATCCTCCATCGAACTATATAGGGAAACCCTTTCCAGTTCTTTCCAGTTGCTATTCATCCTTTTCTTGTCTACTTCCGGTTCTCGATACAGTCTGTACCGTGGTCTTCCTTTTTTCCGTTTCCCTTCAGGATTCTAAATTAGCTCTTGCCTCGTGATTCAGTTTGATGATTTCCTCGATGTATGTCCTATCTACTTCCAACGTCTTCTCTTAATTTCCTCCTCAACTGGAAGTTGGTTTGTTCTCTCTCACAGTAGGCTGTTACTGATGGTATCCGGCCAACGGATACTAAATATTTTGTGTAAACAATTGTTTTTAAATACTTGTACATTTTCGATGATGGTTGTGGTAGTTCTCCAAGTTTCAGCTCCATACAGTAGAACTGTCTTCACGTTCATATTAAAGATTCTGATTTTGATATTGGTTGACAAACAGTTGTTTCGAGTTCCATATGTTCTTCAACTGTAGAAATGCTGCCCTAACTTTGCCAACCCTTACGTTTGCGTCTGCATAGGTGATGCTAACCAGGTATGTGAAAGTTTCCACCAATGTGATTGGGTTGGTGTTCTCCGTGTTGTATTTAAGGATTCTACTTTCTCCTTTGTGTATGTTGAGGCCTACTGCTGAAGAGGTAGAGGTTTCTGCTACACTGTTTGTCTTGACCTGCATTCGTTGATGTGTATGGGATAGAAAGGCCAGGCCATCTGCGAAGTCCAAATCGTCTAGTTGCATCCAAGCCATCCATTGTATTCGGTGCTCTCCCTCAGATATCGAGGTCTTCATAATCCAGTTGACCGTCAGAAGAAAGAAGAAGGAGGAGAGTATGCAGCCTTGTCTGACTCCGCTCCTCACTTGGGATTTATCTGTCAGCTGTCCTCCGTGCACCAATTTGCAGTGTAGTCCGTCGTATGAATTACAGATGATGTTGACGATCTTCTCAGTAACCTCACAGTGTCGAAGAAGGCTCTATAAGGTCCTTATATCCACACTGTCAAACACCTCATAGTCAATGAAGTTGACGTATAATGACGAATTTCATTTAATTGATTGCTCAACAATAATCCGTGGTGTCACGAATCGGTCTGTGTACGACCGATCCTTACGAAATCCAGCCTATTGATATCGAAACCGGACGTCCACTGAATCTTTCATCCGGTTCAACAACACTATTGAAAACTTTTCATGGAATCGATAGTCATGTGACACTTCTGTAGTTCTCACATTTGTTCAGATCTCCTTTCTTTGGTATCTTGATGAAATATGCTTCTTTCCAGTCTGTCTGTGGCACTTGTTCTTCCTCCCAAATCTCCCTAAATAGAACGTGGAGCATGTTTGCAGTTGCTTGTATTTCTGACTTCAGTGCTCCAGACAGTATATTGTTAGGTCCCGCTGCTTTTCCACTGTTGATTTTTCTGATGGCCATGCTGATTTGTTCGATCGTTAGTAGGATGACATAGAAAAATATTATTCAATCATTTAAAAAAAACATGTACATACCTTTAAACCAGAAAGTGTAACGCAACAATTTTTTGAAACTGAAGTTATCAAGACAAAATTAAATGGATAACTGCTTTTTTTGTTTGGATATATAAGTTCAACTTAAGTAGTTTTATCGCTACAACTTCAATAGAGCGTAATTAATGCGAGGTCATTTTGTTTATTGATCAGTTTGAATAATTGAGAAACTTAAACATGAGATGTTCACATTTCAAACAAATAGTGAACAATCGCATTATTTATTTATAATCGCATTACTGGAAATGTTCTATTTTTCTAGCTTTAAATGTCGTGGAATGTGCTCAGAAATGCAGATACTTAACTGTTTTTTTTTCTATTGTTCCAATGTATTTCCTTTGGTCAGTTTATGTAAACTGGGAAACACAGTTGAAGATAACATACAACAGTAATTTGTTCACATTTGATTGTCGTAATATTTTACAGTCAATAGTGAATATGTACAATTTGAACCAGATATAAGGGAAAAAAGAAAAGTATTAACAAAAGATAATTAATGCACCATACATTTTTAATCTATTCACTCCTATTTATTTGATCTTTGCAGTACATACTGCTGATGGATTTGAAACCAGACTACTTCATTCTTGCCTGGTATGGTCAAGGGTAAGGAGAGCCCACTCTTCCTGTCGAAATGCTCTCACATGACCACGTGTATACAACCACTGCCAGAGAAGTCCTACTCACTGTCTTCTCTCAACAGCTGTGTTATTTACGAAATCGAGAGGACAAAAAGCGAATGTCTGGCACTCTGACCGGGTTGATGTGCACAGAGGATCTACCTAGGGGATTTGGAAAACCCTGATTCCGAACCAATGGTGCAAATGGGCTCCAGTATCCTGAGGGAACAAATGACCTATGAATCTACTGTTGGTCACCAGCCACCATGGGACTGCATCTCTTGACGTTACTCCACTGCCTTGTGAATAAAACCTCTAGATCAAAGGCTTGTTGTATGACTCCCCAAGAAAACCACCTTCATTTTGGGCATCCGGACAGTATTCCAACCCTCATACAAATAGAATCATTTGTGTGGCACATATATATTTGATGCCTTCTTGTACCAATGTTTATGTGTTTAAATAAATAAAGATTCATTTATGTTTAATTTACGATGAAAATTATCTGTAAATTCTTTAAAATTCTTTAAAAATCACCTTAGTAAATAATACATCGATCTTGATATATTTCTGTATGATGGAGTAGTCAAAGTTCGATCCAAAACGTGTTGGTCTCATTCAATTTTTTTTGTTTGTTCTTGGTGTGAAGGTTTAATATCTGTAGATGTACTTCCATTCTATTATTGGCATTTACACTAAAATTCATACCATTTACTCCAATAGAGATTGATTACATTCAACCTTATCAAAAGCATGGAAAAAACACATCATTACAAATAAGAATATGTGTTTATTATTGTTTGTTTTCAATTGTATCACTATACCATTTTATACATTAATCAGTAGTAATAATAGCTGTAATATATTGGTAGTTATCTGAATAATTCCATATTTAACTTAAACATACAAACATATGAGTGAATTAGATAAATATTCTAGAAATAGTTTTTTTAAAAAAGGAAAGTGTTTCACCTTGATAATTTGAATTTAGGCGACATAAAAATACTCGTATATTTTTCTCCTTTTTATTATTATTATTATTATTATCTAAGCATCACATATCATCATCCATTTGTCCAGTTGCTGATATCTTACAGTTCATTACATTTTGGTCTCAATTTATTATCAAATATATTTTGTTTATATTCAATCAACCGATAAGATAGTTGGATTAACTATTATTAGTAGTAGTATTAGTAGTTCTTGTTGTTGTTGTAGCAGTATTAATAGTACTTGTAATGTCATGTCATATACTATTGACTTATAATACACAGTGATTAGAAAAGTGATCAATAGAAAATCATGCACCAAAAAAATTTTCATTCCAATATTGGCACTTATCAACAAAGTTTATCTGTAATACTAAAGAAATTGATGTTTTCTTTGTGATTTTTGAGACTTGTATATCACAGTCAGATAGAGGTTAATTTTGGTCAAATTGATTAATGGAATTCAATCCACATAGTACACTAGACAACATAATGTTTGTTATTAATAATTAGTGTATAAACCTAAGCATCATTTTATAGAAAAGATTATACACACAACTTATTCATTTTTCATCGATACTTTGATTTGATAATAATGTTGTTTGATTGTATCAAAATATTGAAAGTTAACAATAAAATTATAGGATTTCATATTCATAGCTATCAGATATTGTATGTAATTAGTTTTCATATTCCATGTACTTTCAGAAACCTATCCTTCTTCAAGAAGTTTAATTAGTTAGTCAGCTAGTTATAAATCATCCCAGAATTTATATTAATAAAATGAAATCCGAAGAGGTTGTAATGGAATAATGTTAATGGTTTAAAAAAAACATAACAAGAAATATTATATACACTCAATCATGCCCTAATTATTGTATTCAGAAAAGTGAAGAAGCTGAAAAGATTTCTTTTCAGTTAACATTCATAGGAATGTCTCAGAGGGTTCTAGAAAGATTTTAGATTCTGCGTCATACTCTGTTTGGATAATTAGTTATCTTTACTACTAATTTTAGTAGGCTTCTGGAATATCATTGTCACGTTTAAACCTGGAAATAGCTTTTTTGTTCTGTACTTAAACTACCCATGGTAGTTGGTTTTTTCATACATCCTTTCATTTGTCTCCTGTTCAGAACTCAAATGTAGAAGTTATCTGGGTAACTAGGAAGTGGTAGTCAAGTGTTCAAGTACCAGACTTATCAGGTGGCGGGAAAAAGTTTATTCCTAGGGAGTAAAGTATAACAAAATGAAAATATATAATAGAACGGTTACATTTACAGTATTTTCACAAACGTCCATGGTATCATTCAACTTCTGTAATTGTCTACATCTCCTCAGTTATCCCTGACCCTTAGCAATATGTAGGATATGGCTAAATTTGTGTAATAAACTCGGTCAATGAAGGCTTACAGCCCTTTCAATAAAACCCCCTACATTCAACCTCCCTGTTGTTCTTTGATAGTGGTTACATCATATTCAAACAATCCTTTGAAAATATTTATGGTCACGCAATTAGAACATCTCATGTCTTCCACTTGTTTTAGTGAATAAGAAGTAGGAGGACTAATCTGTTTCTTTGTAATCAACAGTTTGATCGAACTAACTTCTAAAAATACTTATTTTGAAAAAAAACGGCTGATGTTATAGACAATGTAAAATTTCAATTTCTCATCATCCAATAATATGTTTGTTTAAAACAACTGTCACCGTCTAATTGGTTATGAATTAACCCTTTATGACTTGTAATAAAAATATTCTTGCTTAATTAGTAGATGATAAGCACCAATCGATTGATTAATAATTTGCAGTGATATGATTTGTGGCCAAATGATAGTTGCCCATGGGACTAAATTATCCTTCAGACTGGTGGTTTTGTATTTTGATATCAATTCAGTTGGATTGGGGAGTGACTTAGGTCAATAAGTTTTTCTTCTAACAAAACAAAATGCTCATATAAAAAAAAATAATTAAAAGTCATCTAACGGATAAACGATTAAATCATATAAAGACTAGTTAGATCATTCAATTTGTGATTTTCTTCAATAGCTTTATTGTCAAGCTTAATTCCGGATCAGTCATTACTATAAATATAAAGAAATTAACGTGGATCTGTTTCTTTTTCTCGTCGTTTTTCTAAAATCCTAATATGTTTTCTTGTCTTGTTAATGATTTCAAAAAAAAACAAAACAAGTCTACCACTATCATATCGTCGATGAATAAGTACATTTCTATCAAAATGTTAGATTTAAAATGCAATTATGACTGAAGCTGACTAATTCATCAGTGTTCATTTATATTTTATCCATTATGACTGTATTTTCTTTTTATTTATTTATTTATATAGTCAAGCATCAAATAAACGTCGTAACCGTTATCTAGATGTTCCTTGTTTAGATTCAACTGCTGTGGAACTGTCAGACAATACTTATATACATGCAAATTGGGTTGATGGTTATCAATGTCCACGTGCATATATATTAGCTCAAGGTAATTCTTTCTATTTGTTTTTATTGTTTAACTTGATAAGCGATAAACATTAACTACCATCGAATATGGATAGCGGCTAGCAGTGAAATCCAGAATGTGCATTTCGTCCTATTTGGGACTCGTCTGCTGGATGTACCTGTATCTCAGAGTTGATGTTCACCCTGAGACTCGAACCCAGTGACACTCGCTTCAGTCGCCAGTCGTAAAACTCAATGGGAAAATTCAAGCGAAATAATACTAAGTGAATTTAAATTCACCCTATTGCACAAGCAAGTGGCTATCGGGACTCAGTAGCTGAGTGTTAAACGCGATGGCGCTTGAAGCGAATGGTACTGGGTTCTAGTCCCAGAGTGGACATCAACTACCATCAATTTCATAATTTTTCAGATTGATACATTTCAGATTATTTCTTTTTAAATTATTTGAAAATTTAATTATAAAGAGTGTTATTTGAAAACAATATTCAATGAAGATTTACATTCTGATTAAAGATTCGTTGATTGAAAAATGAATTGTGCCAGACATATGTTTGGTTGAATTAATGTTAGTTAGTTTGTGGTGAAATTTACTTTGAAATTGTAAAAAGACTGTTTATGACATGCTAAATGATTTATTAATACCTAAAACTAATAAAATAACAATTGTGTGTTCATTTATTGCCTAACCTTATAATGGTATTTCATAGTTAAGTCAAGGTAAAAGTGATGGAAATCACCACCTACCAATGGCTTTAGCTTGCATATTAACTAATTTTAAATCAAGACTGGTTCATTGAATTCCGACTTATGTATGTATTAATGTACTAGGTGAGAGTTGAAAGTATCAGCCTTCATCTCCTGTGTGTGTGTGTGTGGTTGAAGTCAGGTCTTCAAAATTATAGATTATACAACTGTTTCTGTAGAAGTGAAAGTATTCTGAGGTATAGAAATTGTCACAATAGTGTAAAACAATACGAGGAGTGTAATTTCAAATGATTTATACGAAAGGAGGAATGCCAATTCTTGAATGTAAGCGATACTAGTAATACTTTCATCATAAGGACATTGTGGAAATCATTATTTCACTCAAGACACTTAATATGAATACAGATTAAGACGTTCCCGTTTTTTATCGATAATTTCTTTCATTAGAATCAATCTAGTTTTTCGACTTCGTCAGATACAAATGTTAAACAGTAATGAATTTAATTTTATTAACCGTAAAATTTAGTTGATTGAAATTAGTCGTCCGGAATCTTTGAATCTAATTTCTGCTCCATTTGATATAATAATAATAATAATAATAATAATAATAATTATTATTATTATTATTATTATTATTATTATTATTAATATTTGAACACATGAATATTGGTACAAGAGAGCGCCAATATATATGCGCCACACTTCTGTGTGTGGGCTGTGATACTGCCCTGGTGCCCAAATCGAACCAGGTGGTTATCTTAGGGGGCCACACCCCGAGCCTTTGACCTAAAGGTCTAACCCACAAGGCAGTGGAGCATCGTAAGGAGATGCAGTCCCATGGTAGCCGGTGACCAACAATTGGTTCATACGCCATTTGTTCCCTCAGGATAGTGGAGCCCATGTGTACCATTGGTTTGGAATCCGGTTAGAGCGCCGGACATTCACTTTTCGTCCTCTCATTTTCGTAAACAACACCCCCGCCACGAGAAGGCAGTGAGTAGGACTTCCCTGGCAGAGGCTATATACGCGCGGCCGTGTGAGAGTATTTGGAGAGGGAGAGCGGACTCTCCCCACTCTCGGCCGTACCAGGGCATTCGGGGGTAATCACTCATCAACAAGATATATCTGAAATCCTGAAGAGACTTATCAGTAAAATTTGACCAGAGCTAAACACTAGACAAATACGTTCTTGCTTATTACTCGATGATCAGCTAAACTTAAGGTTTTTTTTAATCGACTAGAATACAATCTCACTTATTACATTATTAAGTACAGGAAAACAAACACAACCACTATATGTCTTATAGGCTGGTGGTTTTCATCATGAATTCAATAATATTTGTAAGGATAGTGTAATATAACACTGAAAATCAGTTTGTATTGTGTTGGGGAGATATAGAAAACTCTTCGAAAAAAAGCCAAGAAAATCTCTGAAAATACTGAAAAGCATCTTATCCAATCAGCGTTCACCAGAAGTTTTGCCAGAAACATCTAGAAAGTGAAGAGTCACATGTCGAGTTTCTGCTTGGATGATTATGTATGCTGCTACTATGTTTAGTAGCACTTGAGAATTTTCGGGAAACTCAAGGACATCTAAAATACTATAAAAACCCTAGATTTTCTGTACATAAACGAACCTTTGGAGTATAGCGTTTTCTACCATATTTCACGCCTTTTCTCTCGAGTTCAAGTCGTTGTGTAGATTTAGCCTGGGGTTTACTAGAATAGCTTAGGAACTGAATCTATCATTCAGTTAGAGGACTTATCATATTTTCAGTCATTTCGTCCTAAGTCTTGACTACTACTCAGAAGAGTGTTGTATCCTTCTCTGAACTTCACCCTGGAAATTCAATTCAAGTCTCACAATATGTGCATACATATGTCCATACTTCATACTTATTTTTAGTAACTCCCTTTGGTTTAGTTATATAATTAACTTTTTTCTTGAAGAAACAATAATACTTAAATTTTGTCTGTCTAATTTATGATGGGTCGTTAATGTTTAATTGAATTATGATCAGAATTCACCATGGATAAAATTAAAACAAGTTAGTAGTCAATACTGAAATTATACCACACACATCTATACACCCTCAAGTAAATTGTAAATTAGATCGCTTAATAACTTAGGCCAATACAAGAATAGGTCAAGGTCAATGAGAACTGTTCTGTTTCTATCCTTCTTCCTTTAAAATTTAAGGTATGTTGATTGATTTCGCTCTCTTGTTTGTTTAAATTAAGAGAACGTGGTAATAGTGATAGTAGTTGATTGTAATTGGTCAGTGCTTCTTATCAATTGGAAAATTCAATTCAAAACATGTTCAGCGCTACAATAAAGAAAGTTTTTGTTAAGCTGACATTGTCACGTTTCTTTTTAAAAAAGAAAATTGTAACCACAATTGATTGATCACTGGGTGGTGATCAGTGTCATGCTTGTCTAGTCCTTATTAGTGCAGATCGAATGCTATCGATCATGTCGCAATGTGGCCACCAGTCTAGGTGACTCGACACTGCGGGCACTATGTATTGAGATTTAGATGGTAGTTGGAGGTAGTCAACAGGAAACCCTGGACCCGGGTTTCGTGCTACTTGGCACTCGTCAGCAAGGTGTACCTGTAATCTTGAGGGAACCGGTGCTCCCTGGCGGATTCGACCCCATGTCACCCAGCTTCACAGTCAGAGACGTTACCACTGAGCTATCCGAGCCGCGACTGACCTCCTGTAGGACTGAGATATGTAATCACAATTGATTGATCACTGGGTGGTGATCAATGTCATGCTTGTCTAGTCCTTATTAGTGCAGATCGAATGCTACCGATTGTAACAATCCCACTAAATCAGAGCTCAAGAATAACAACGATAAAAAATACACTATTCAATCTTTCTATTCCTGATTGAATTTTGTTAAGTCTGCTAATTCAACGCTTGACCCGATTTACTAGACGCTTCTTACAACGCCAAGCTGAATCTACGTAGTAAAGTGAACACAAGAGAAAAAGTGCGAAGTGTAGAAGAACGTATTGCTCCGACGTTAAGGTATATACAGAAAGACGTGCATATTTAGACCAATGAACGTAGTTTTGATCATCTAGGAGCATATTAAATATAACAGTAAAGAACATTATCCAATCAAATATTTGACACGTATTCTATCATCCTTCTAGATGTTTCGAAGAAACTCTTTAACACTGTTTTCTGAGCCCCTATTGACTTTTCCGAGGAGTATTTTGGGACTCCTTAACAAATTTTATTTGCCCAGTTTTTCAATATGATCGTCGTCTAATAATTTAACATTGGAACAATTCAATGAGATTTTTTTTTCAATTTCTTTTTATACACTGTAACTCAAATTATTCTATACTTCATTTAAATATGTTGTTACCGTTGCGTTAAAATTACTTCTCGGTCTTTGCGTTTTATTTAAATATGGTTGCACTTCCGATCGTACATATGGTATACACTGTATCATATAAATCATGTCATTCGGTCATAAGTAATTTAAACCGTCGCACAAATGGATGTTGATCTGAATTGCCACGCTTCACGTCTGTACATTTGAGTAACAGAATCTAACTTCAATTATTCCAGATCCAAATTAATTTTGTATATTTTCCGTACTAAACTTCTTGTGCAATCAAATTCGCTTGACAATACAATATTTGATAGTATGATACAAACTATTTTTGGAATGGATATATTTCAAAGACACTATTCAACGAACCAGACATGTAGGGTCCATAGTGTGCATGAAGTGTATCTGTTGAAGTGTCTTCTGCGTAGATAGATTTGCTAATCAATCTTTGTATCAATTATTTACTGAATACATATGGTCTATCTAGGTGTAAACTTAAGCAAACTAATATATCATACGTGTGAAAATGTACGTGGATAGATACTCACAATTAATCATGTGAATTAATAAAAAAACTATTCAACAATATCACAAAATGACTTACGTGTTCGATATCTGATTATTTGGCGTTATACCAGTTCAGGCATTGGCACGTAACGTCAATTTATAGTACGAATGTGGGTTTGAGCAGCGTTTACTTCCTATGTTATAAGTGAATAATACAATATGAGGCTGCTACAAAGTTTTCAACCATACTTGTGTATATATTATCATTTATAAAAAGTATGTATTTTGTGCAAATACTTTTTGGCTAGCCCCTAAAGGCCTCAGTACGGTCGAGGATTGGGAGAGACAGCTTTTCCTCTCGAAGTGCTCTCACATGACCATGCTTATACAACCACGCTACTCACTGCCTTCTCGCAGCGGGGGTGTTATGTACAAAATTGAGTAGACGAAAAGCGAATGTCTGGCACTCTAACCGGGTTGATGTACACAGAGGATCTACCTAGGGGATTTGGAAAACCCTGATCCAGTATCGTGAGGGAACAAATGGCGTACGAACCTACTGTTGGTCACCGGCTACCATGGGACTGCATCTCCTGACGTTACTCCACCGCCTTGTGAATCAGACCTTTAGGTCGAAAGCTCCGGTGTGCTACCCTAAGAAAACCACCTGCTTCGGTCTGGGCACCCAGACAGTATCACAGCCCACACACAAATCAAGTGACTTGTGTGGCGCATATGTATTCGGTGCATCTTTGTACTAATATTTATGCGTTCAAATAAATAAATGAATAAATATCCACCAATACTTCATCATGGGACTTACGAATCATCTCAAGTAATTCGTGTAGGGTCGACATCTGTCCTTAAAAATTACACATGGAAGAAAACAGCTCATTCCTTGTGTTTTAAACGCTTCACTATTAAGGATATCAACGATGATCCGAATTCAAGATGATTATTGACGTCTTGTGCTGTTGAGAACGTCGGATTTGTGCATTATCTTATGCTTTCTAACCACGATTTCGTAGTTCAAATTATTACTGATAAACTGATGTAAATAATTGATAGACCACACATTTGCGCACTTCTGTGTATATGTTTAACAATGAAGACAGTAGTATGATCTGTGTATGATTAAAAATGCTAGACGTTTTAAAGATTATAAAACCTTAGTCCACCTATTTATTGAATATACCATATATCATAATCACTAATTGACTAGATCAACTGCTATCTTTTATCATTACTTCCACGATTTTCAATGTTTGTATTATTCATTCTATCACTTTTAAGAATGTTAATTTATCAACGACATCTATCTTTAGTCACGTTAACATAAGAATACTTGATATTACAAACACTATAAATGACATTAAACAACTATCATTCTAGTTAGTGTCAATAATTATAAATGAGAATAGGGAGAATCAAAACAATTCCTTTCACTTTGTCCTCTGAATAATTCCTGTTTATCTGTTTATTACTATCACTGTTCATTATTACATAATGTCTATATTATAAACTGACTAACATGAATAAGAAAAAAACCCATTGGAAATCAAGAAATCGCACGACAGAGTAGAGTAGTAGCTTAGCGATTAAGACATCTATCATTAATTAAGCCATGAGTTCAAACTTCGATCCACCTACATCGGTTTTGGAAACCTGGTTACATCAATAGCTTGAACACTTAAACTGTAATTCGAAGCTAAATGCACAAATCTCTACCCGATATATACGTTAAAGATGTAAACACTATGTGAAAAATCATTGAACAAGGCAAGAAATCAATGTCTTAAACATTTATAATTCACTAGGCCTTACACTGCTGATGATATTGTTTTTTTTAATTTTTACTTTTTTTTAATGAACCATGATACTGAAATTATACAGTTTACCACAATTATCAAATTCGAAATTCAATAATATCAGAAAGTTATTTGTCTGCTGTTTCTGGTTGTATACCCAATTCGACACTTCTCTCTCATTCCATTCTTATCGAGCTATCAATATGATGGCTCTAGATGAATAACAGAATTTGTAACCATTTGTTTCATCTCGTGCTATTATTATTATTCTTGAGTCAGTCAGTTAGCCGTAGTCAACGTTAAGCCTGATACCAGTGCTCACCAAATCAGGTTATCACACCCCACACCGATACAAAAAGAAAGCTACTGTGATCAATTTTATGGTATGTCACTCAGAGTATCGAGCAGGTAGATTATGATTATTACAAGGACCTTAACAAGGAAGTCTACATCTACTGACATATTTCACATAAGAACTCATTGACTTCATTGCTTGATGCATTGTTTTAATTTTTTAAACGCAGTACGTTCTGCTCAATCATTCTGCAAACATTATTTGTATTACTCATTATGAACTTGTTCGTATTAAACAGATATGTAGATAGATATTAGGGATAACAGCTCCCAAATGCCCTGGTACGGCCGAGAGTGGGGAGGTCCGCTCTCCCTCTCCAAATGCTCTCACATGGCCACGCGTATATAGCCTCTGCCAGGGAAGTCCTACTCACTTCATTCTCGTGGCGGGGGTGTTGTCTACGAAAATGAGAGGACGAAAAGTGAATGTCCGGCGCTCTAACCGGATTCCAAACCAATGGTGCACATGGGCTCCACCATCCTGAGGGAACAAATGGCGTATGAACCAATTGTTGGTCACCGGCTTCTATGGGACTGCATCTCCTCACGATGCTCCACTGCCTTGCGGGTCAGACCTTCAGGTCGAAGGCTCAGGGGATGGCCCCCTAAGAAAACCACCTGGTTCGATTTGGGCACCAGGGCAGTATCACAGCCCTCACACATGTCGAATAAGATTTGTGTGGCGCATATGTATTTGGTGCCTCCTTATACCAATATCTATGTGTTAAAATAAATAAATAAATAATTAGGGATAACAAGATAAGTTAGGCTACGATATTAGGGCTTCGACAACATTGGTTAATTGAATACAGAGTAGTCGGGATAAGTAGATACGAAAATCGGGACTTGATTTTCGTGCCGATTGACACTTACCAACAAGGAGTACTTAAGATCATTAAGGAACTGTTGCTCTCTGTTGGATTTGAATCATTATCATCCAGTTCCAGTCAGAGACATAACCATTGAACTACTTAAACGGCAACTGACTTGTCGGTATGACCAAGATAGTTTCACTACTTGACCATCACGTAACAACCAGTGTCATATTCGTCCAGTCTAAATAAGCCGTCAGCACGTATACTATGTTTCAATGTTAGTTGGTTGGATGCTATGAGTAAAATCCAAATACCACCAAGTATTAGGTTTTTATGAAATTAGTTACTACTCAGTAGTTAATATGACTTCAGAAATTTATTTAGAATCTATGTATTAACACATTGCTTATCATCTGTATTCAAATAAATTGTAAAATATCAAATCATTATCCAGATATCTGATTGTGATAATACCACTTCACTATCGAATTAAAATAATTCATCTCCTGTCAGGTTTCCTCGTCGCTGTTTATTCGTTTTACAAATACAGGTGTGTATTTTTTCTTCGTTTCTAGAATAGTATTAGTAATCAAAATATGTGTGAATTGATTGAATATACATACAAAACAACCAAGTGTCTTAATCATTTTTCCTACTTTTCACACAGTCTGAAGATAGTTTAAATCTAGGGCAACCTATTTCGACTAAAGATTGATTAAAGGTCGGTTAGCTTTAAATAACTTTTTAATTGGAGTTCCAAACTCAACATTCTGGACTTATCACTACCCCACTAGTTATCCAATATGGTGATCTTCAATTCTCACGGTGAACACAATACTTTCCGACGATTTAGTTAGCATTTAATAGCCAACATTTCTGTGTTGTTATTTTGTGGTATAACGTGAATATCTTTTAACACCATTGGTGATGCGTCTTACTGACGGCATACCAGTAATATAGTTGACAAGTGAACTACTACAGTATCTGTGCTATTCTAGTACAAATGTATTACGTCTTCACTGTTATGTTGAAGTATATGAATGGTAATATACTCATCAAGAAAATCGTGAAGCTGTTTATTTCAAGTATAATTGCTTACATACAAAAGTTCGTATTCAAATACGAAACCATCCTTCGGCATTTGTTTTATTTAAATACAACTACTAATAAGTAGTGTGGGTCTTTATACAGAAATATCTACGCAATAGACATTAATAGTAAATCAACCCTTGAAGCCAAAAAATACTAGTTTTTCCCAAACCTTAGTTTGAATTACTTCCCTTCATTCGCGTACTTCATAAACACTATGGTTTTTTAACTACATCGAAATACTTTCAGATGGTCTCTTGTTCTTTCTGACTCAGATCATTTCATGATAAAGTGTCTCTGAGATCGTTCTCTAAAGTACACCTTAGTTTCCATCCTAAGTAACCTAAGGCTTTCTGAACAAGTCAAGATCAGTGATGTTTTGCACCATAAAATTAGTCCATCCCATTTTAAAATTTATTATCAGCTGCGAACAGACTAATATTGCAAACAATAATTGGGTTATAATCGAATGTCTGTCATAATTAACAAAATTAGAATGAAACAATAAGACGGAAAATGGTTTGTGTTAGTTGTGAGAAAATAGACTATTGACCTCATTTTGACTTGGTAGATGGAATTCGATGAGCACTAAAGAACTAGACAAATTTGTCACTGGCCACTACTTTGTGGCCAATTAAATGTAAATATCTTCTCTAATGTGTCAGACTAAAACTGGGTGACACGACCTCAAAGAGAGAGAAGTTAAACATACTTCCCTTTTGTACACATTCGTCAGAAAATTATGATGACGATAGCCTCGGCACATCGAAGTGAAAGGTGACATTCATTGTTTTTCAATTGTTTATGAACACCCGAAAAATGCCTACTTCATGTCTATTATTTAATGTCTGCCGATAGCAGTTATGGGAATTGTGATTCATTTCGGACATAGGTTTCTCCAGGACTATTCCAGAAATTCCATGGTTTGCATCACAAACTAATTTAAGTCAACCACTAAAAATCAAGAGTCACTATACCACCATTTTGTCATAGTTACATTACATATCCACAACCTCACCGAGGTTTGAACCCAGGATTATCAGCTCACTGCTAACGCCTCCGACTTTAGACCAATGTTGGCATCCGCTGGTTCCTATTCGAGATAATCTCACTAGTGTAATGTTTTTTTTTTCAGAAGGATCCGAACAAATCTCTATGCTGTACGGAACCACTCTTCTGTTTTTTTTAATTCCTCTTCCCGTTAGTTTATTCCCTTATTTATATAAATAGTGTATGTTGATACACAAAGATTTCATCATTGTCACTATACTTCTCTCATTTTCAATCAAGGCCCATTAGAGAATACAATACGTGAATTTTGGATGACTGTTTGGGAGCATAAAGTCATCACTATTATAATGCTTACCAAGTTAGTATGTCTATTAATTAATTATTAATTTTTATTATCAATTATTCTTTTCATATCCGACTTAAGCGGAGATACCATGCCTTTTGAACGACCCTGAGCAATTCTAACATTTCAATCACTTGTATTAGCGTGTTGAATTGCAGGTGATACCAATGAACAAATTTTTCCAGTAAACGAAAAAAAGCAGGATGTATATGCACATTTTACATTGTTTAAGAACTTAAGAAAATTTAAAAAAGGTCATATATTTTAAAATCACAGTACGCTTTTAATAGAAGAATCCATTCATGTGATTCTACAGCTTTTGATCTCTGGGGTTATGATGATGTCTAAGATATTCCCTACTTTGCCTGTCTTATAGTTTACGAACTGTCATTTGTCCATCGCAACGTGATGCTTGTAACCAAATCCCTATAAACACTTATTAGCTTTCCACTCATCAGTATACGTTATCAGCCCTGGCTGGACATACTCCCTGTTGACAGGTATCACGGTTGAAACCTGTCATTTTCTAACATATTGAAAGTTTCTTTTTTGAAGACTTCTATCTCAAATGCCGAAACCTGCGTAGTAGGTTATAAGGGACTCCTACTTACCAAGCATACTTTAAAACTTGTTCCACTACTATATTTCCGCTTCATCTATTTCTACAATCTTTCCCATACTTCAAAGTGATAGATAAACATCATCAGGATAGGTTTGTTGAGTTCCGTTGAAATCGTGGGCCGATCAATGTTGGACCACCACAGAAAACTTGAAAACGTGAGACCGAAGGTCCTTGGCTCAGTTCCACTGTGCCTGGTCGCGAATGCGCACTGCCTAGGACGAAACAGCCGTCCAGCACTTCGAGGTTTCAAAGGTGGCCTAACATTTATTGGTTCATGATTCCAAAGATAAATCTAAAGTCAGAGATTTGTGCGAACTTATGCCTCGGAAATACTGATACTGTGATAGTGTCAAAACATTTACTGTCAGCTAAAGCAGCTTTAAGAGTACCCTTTCTTATCATTATTCAATTAGTAGTAACCAACATTATATACCTCAATGTTAGATTCGAATAAGCGAAGCAAGTACCCATTCCTGCTAATTTCTTTCTTCAGCATGCATTGCTTCGCATATATTTTGTTTATCCATTGTGAATAAGAAAATAACTTATTAATTATTTACTCTGGTTATAAAAAATATTATTTAGAGTTGTCGAAGGTCAACGTCCTAAATGTGCATTGTATTGGCCAACAAAAAATTCTTCTTCCTCCTTGTCAAAAGATCAATCTATTCCCCGTAGTAGTGTTCACCCAGTGGATACAAAAATGACCCCAACAATCAGTGCTACTTATGGAGAATTTCAAGTGACTAATTGTGGTGAATCTATTGAAGCTGGTGGTTTATACAAACGAAGTGTTTTAGAAGTGACATGTAAATCTTCAGTAAATGATGTCCATAGTTCTACTACTCATATTGGTGTCAGTAGATTGGAACGCAACCGACAAAAATCTAAAATGATTGTTCAAAATTCTCTCAAGGTAAATATTAAATAACAGTGTAAATTCCAATATCCTTTCCTCATTTTCTCAAGGTAGTGCCTACAATTCATTTCATACAATAATCCTTCTTATTCTTTATCATATGGATATACTTTACGAAATTTGCAGAAAAAATAAGCTGATTAATCGGGATTGAAACACCACTATTACTACTAGTAATATCAATTATCTGAGATCTTATAAATTATCAAACTTCCCTCTTCATCTAATTGAAATCAGTATCCAATGTGTAGTTTCAAATGAAAAAATGTATGGGGACGGCTTAAATAAATTAAATAATTATTGTGTCCCCATACATACTGTCAGTATATTAGTACTACTACTGTTCGTTTCTCTATCATCGTATTGTATTTCTGCCTATTTGTTGTGGCTAATGAATGAGTAAAACTTCTACCTTCATCACAACGTCTCACCAAACTAGAATATCACTAAATGATATCACACTTCATACTTTCAATTCATATGATGCTGCAGACCCGATAATTAAACAAACTCAATTCTTAATTAAGAAGTTCGGTGCCTGAGTCCTGTGTGCGGGATCGTGGATGCGCACTGCTAGAGTCCCATACTAGAACAAAATGGTCATCCAATGCTCCCAGGTTTTCAATGGTAGTCTAGCTTTATATATATATATATATATATATATATATATATATATATATATAGTTACTTAGTAGTCATACAGTAAGAATATTCATGTAATATTAGTCCATGCGTAATTCCGTATGGCTACCATTCATTCATTCCCGTCCGGATATAACATGAAGGACTATAATAATTGTGATTATTCATAACAATATGAGAAAGTTTGTGGAGATTGTCCAGTTTGTAATTTCTTTCAGTCATGGACTGATTTTAGCCAAATAATCGGTTATATCCCATGATCGTTGGTTTCGAATACGATTATACACGCTCCCGCACATTCATTTATCCAACCAACAACGAGATTGATACTACTGAAGAGTGACTCAAGCTTTGAGTGACAAGACCTATAGGTGCACACATAAAATTGGTATATGATACATTTGTCGGTATGTCTCAAACACTGGGGAATATAGTCTGAAACATTGACTAGGGGCATAATTGGCTTCTTCAAACAACGCACCTTATTTATAATTCCTCAACAACTATTTGGCCTTGTGATCGCATATGGGAACAGACAAGTGATATGTCTACACTCGGTCAGCATATTACAACTAGTTGAAACTAGGAAGTTACTAATCAGCTTTGTTTCATCTTTATATATGAGACACCTTAACAAATCCACACTTCTAGACCTCTTCAGGAATCATCTGTTCTATATAAACGGCAGTGTTTCCTAGCTTGAATTTGTTTTACACCAGGAATGATAAAGGCAAATACTCTGACTAGATAAGTATACTCAGTAATTTCATATTCAACACATCGTCTAAAATAACATTTGTCGTCTTATAAATAAATTCGTTCATACACGTTGCGCTACTTTTAAGTATTGTGAACTGCTTCACGTATACAAATAAACAAAGAACTGAAGCTTAAGATGTCATGAGCTATAATATTCATCAAGAAAGTAAGCGATGTTTAATAACTGGAGGAAAGGCTGTGTGACGTTACCATATAAAATGTTGAATTCGAGATGAAATGTGATCAGAAAGAGCATAGAGACATAAATAAGTCAATAAGAGGCAAAAAGTCAATAGACAGTGAGTTTAGTGCGATGATAAATCTTCAGACATCTTTATATGGCTTTCTAACTTTCTCGAGAAAACACTTTTCACAGCAGCTTTGCGTTTAGCTTCCTCTAAACAATCATTGTTTAGGAACAGTATGAAAGACAAGCTCTCGCACTTGACAAGTTGTATGTCCAATGCTCCTGCTCCTGTGATACTAACTATACAGGTCATTCGATGTAATTTCTATCCAAGATAATTCAAGAACATTTTCCTACTGGGCTTTTAAATAAAGTGAAACGGATCAATGAGAAGCTCCATAGTCGAGCACTTTGTAAAAACAGATCGTTCGATATATAAAAAACGTGATTTAAAAGGTAAGCAGGCAGCTGTCAAACATTGACCCTTCACCTTCTTAGAATTGCGCAAGCATTTGCTATACATCTGAAAACGCAGAAACTCCTCATAAGAAAGAAACTTATCCAAACTCTCCTTGTACCATAGTCTTAACCTTCCTTTTTTTTCTAAGGCCATCACCCTCTGTCCTCTCTTTAATTGATCTTTTACTCTCAATAGACATATTTCTGTTTCCGTGCTCTTTCTGACCACAGTTCATATCAACTTCAACGTTTTATCTGAACATATTACACAATCTTTCACAATCATTAAGAACATTTATTCGAAGATGATAAGTATCAGTTGTGTAGAATCTCAAGAATCACACACATAGACATATTTTCCTCTATTGTTTGACTGATTGCATATTAATTGAATTTAATGGTCAAACTATTTTCTCAGTAAGGTGTTGTGAAAAGTATTAAATTTCAACATAATCATAGATCGACAACCATTGAAAACATAGAAGCACTGGACTTCCGTTTCGTCCTATTATGAAACTATCCATCAGTGCCCACCTTCGAACACTAACACCGTTCCAGCTTATTGGTCTGGAAGTTAAGTGTTTGCGCGCGAGACCGAAGATCCTGGTTTCGATCAGTGCATGCGTAATCGTAGATGTGTGCCGCTGAGGAGTCCCCTACTAGGACGAAACGGCCGTCCAGTCTTTGCAGGTATTCAATGGTGGCCTAACTTAGATCAGTTTATAATTTCTATGCAATTAGACTATTATTCTCTTGGTATATTTAGTAACTATCAGTGGGATCCAAGATGTACCAACCAGCGGGAAATTACGAATCCTTACTAATGTTTGCAGTTTAAGTTTAAATTAATCATTGTAATCGTAAATTTCATTGTATATATATTTACTTCAAGATGATTGGTTTTACTTGACCTGTATATAAGTTGATATTAATAATACTAATCATAATAATAGTCATCATTATAATATTTATTTCGAAACATGAAGTTCACCACTACCTTACTGTTATTATATATATGTATATACCTAGTGCCCTGATGTAATTCAAATACACATGTATATTATATATATTTGTGTATGCTTGTTTGTTTTTGTATGATTGTGGGAGATATAATGGTAGTAAAAATCTAAGTCATTCATTATTTCATGTAATAAACTATATTGTTCAGTGTAATCTAATGTACTTCACTATATATTCAACGTTTCATCTATACGCACAAACATACATAGCTAATTTGACTTTAAACTACTAACTTAAATAACATCTAATTGTAATTTTAAAATATTTAAACTAGTTGTTACTTGATAAATTAATGGACAATATGTCGACTTGTTTGAAAAAATCTAGGTTCCGGGTTCAACTTTCAGTGTGGATATCAACAGTACAAGGTGTTTAGCCATCAGTTTCCAATATTCAATAAGTGTGCGGTATCCAGCATCTTCGATTATTTCCCCGTTCATTTAGCGTGTGATTGTTTCATATGTGAGTGTACTTATCACAGTACATTTCCTTTTAAGCTCTAGGTTTCACCGTATTTGTGTTTTCCATCCAGCATGCTGGGAGACGCTACATGGATGTAATAAATTTCAGATGCTTAGAAAGAATTCTTCAACGAAAATTACATACTTTTATGTAACACTCACTTACTAAATAAACGGAAAATGTCCAAAAATGCTGGATAGTGTACACGTATAGAAGATTCGAACACGGATAAACAACCTCACACACATCAACAGTAATACGACAGGAGTACATCTTGCTAATAAATTTCAAACAGGGAGGAACATATGCGTCTTTAATCTTTTCCAAAAATATGGTCACGAGGAAACAAATAGACTTAACATCTGTCAATACCATTGTGTTATTCAGAATATATAAATCAATAGAAAATACTTAGAAGCTGATCTTCGAGCTGCTTCAAATGACATTTAAATTATCCAATACTTATTCGAGCGATTGCACAGTGATTTTTTAGCCATATCTTAAATGCTACGAATACATAGTACAAATTTATGTGTAGCTTATGTTTAGATCATAAAACCGGGTATTATTGAACTCAACAACTTCAGTCTGTCTAGTTGTTTGAATGTGATAAGTTAAACATATATATATATATATTCCTGACAAGTCTTTTATATTATCGACTTGAAAATGTCGTTAATAGGTGAATGAGAGTAGTTGTTGTAGATTCTAAAAAAACGGATGTTTTTTGCACATTAGGTCTTCTCACTGTATATCAACTTCATTGATTACGAAAAGGCATTTGACAGTGTAGATAGGAGGACGTTATGGAAACTTCTTCGACACTACGGAGTTCCTGAGAAGATTGTCAATATTATCCGGAACTCATATGACGGACTACAGTGCAAGGTCGTGCATGGTGGACAGCTGACAGATGCATTCCAAGTAACGACCGGAGTCAGACAAGGCTGTCTACTCTCTCCCTTCCTCTTTCTTCTGGTGGATCGACTGGGTTATGGAGACCTCGACATCTGAGGGAAAACACGGAATACAATGGACAGCTCAGAATCAATTAAACGATTTGGACTTCGCAGATGACCTAGCCTTCCTATCGCATACACATGAACAAATGCAGATGAAGACAGCCAGTGTAGCAGCAATCTCTGCATCCGTAGGCCTCAGCATACACAAGGGGAAAACCAAGGTCTTCAAATTCAAAGCAGAGAACAGCAATCCAATCACTCTTGACGGCGAAAATCTGGAAGATGTAGAATTGTTCACATATCTGAGAAGCATAATCGATAAACAATGAGGTTCAGATGCAGACGTAAAGGCGAGGATTGGCAAAGCAAGGACAGCATTCCTACAGTTGAAGAACATATGAAACTCAAAACAACTTTCAACCAATATCAAATTGAGAATCTTCAATACGAACGTCAAGACAGTTCTACTGTACGGAGCTGAAACTTGAAGAACTACAACAACCACCATCAAGAAGGTACAAGTATTTATAAATACTAGTATAGGGGTTGTGGAGATCATTAAGTTTTTGATTGAGATCATGAACCGATTGATGTCGCAAGATACTCGACATCCATTGGCCGGATATCATCAGCAACAGCCTTTTGTGGGAGAGAACAAATCAGCTTCCAGCTGAAGAAGAAATTAGGAAGAGACGATGGGAATGGATAGGACATACACTACGCAAATCGTCAAACTGCATCACGAGACAAGCCCTAACTTGGAATCCTGAGGGGAAGCGGAAAAGAGGAAGGCCTAAGAACACATTACGTCGGGAAATAGAAGCAGATATGAAAAGCATCAATAGGAACTGGAAGGAGCTGGACTGGATTGCACGGGACAGGGTTGGATGGAGAATGCTGGTGAGCGGCCTATGTTCCTTCACGAGGAGTAACAGGCGTAAGTAAGTAAGTCTTCTCAATGTTCATCGTAGTTATGCTTGTTATTTTTCTCTATGTTTTCATCGTTCATTTCCTCCATTTCAGGAATCCGAATGATAATAATACTTTATCAGATAATAAGTTAACAGTGCATCATTATTTATATTTGGGTTGGCCGGATTTCGATGTTCCAGCGGATTCAGAAGAATTTTTGAAATTTCTACTCACTGTTAAACAAAGTCATAATTCAAGATCAAAATTATTATTCTCATCATCACTGTCATCGCCGTCGTCAGTATCACCAACAACAACAACGTCAACAGGATCGTCAAATCACAAAACAACTTCTCAATTCGATTCTTTATCCCCATTACTGGTACACTGTAGCGCTGGTATTGGTCGTACAGGTAGGTGTATATATAATGGTCATTGCGTTTTGTTTGAAGGTGATGATATGTTGTTTGGTGTTCATCTTTCGTCATCAATCTAACAGTTATTTTACGGGATTTATTCACTAGTTTTGGAATGTTTGTGAAAACATCATGTGAAGCTATTGAGTTTGATTCCTGGAAGGATTATGAATGAATACTGATAACGAGTTTTATAACGTAAACAATTGTCCTTAGTTTTCAAAGGTTCAGTTATTAACAAAAGCAATAAACGACATTTTTTGTCACTGATTGCTTTGTTCTGGTTCGAAACCCAAAATCATTCAACATACATACACCCATATGATTAAACTCAAAGATTCACAGCTTATTTGGATGTCTTTGCTGTTATCAAGCCCTCTGAGCTAGATGGCTCAGTTACAGAGTTTTTATTGTCATTCTAGACAAGATCTTCAATGTCTAATTCATGTGTGGCGCTCCCTTGTACCAATATTTATGTGTTCAAATAAATAAATACTAATTCATGTAGAAGTGAGCTTCTTGGTTATTCCACAAGTGAAACGATGCTTCTCCATTGGGACTATATATGACAAGCTTACTCTCTGCTCGCACACATACTCTGTGATGTATTTTCCGTAAATGTTTGCTTTTGAAAGTCATAATTTGCAAAACTCGACTCAACTTTTGTTGAAGTTTACTTAGGAATAAAATAACTATCTTGAGTGAAGAAATATAATTCTTCACACAATTAAACCCTACTTATATTATTACTTGCTACACTAATGTTTAGATGTATATTCAAACATAAACATCTGCAATACTCGAGTGCTGTTGCAGGTACGAAAGGGTAGTTGTCACCTCTCAATTAGATCTTCACACCGTAGAAAGACACTTTTTAAAACATTATTATTATTATTATTATTATTATTATTATTATTATTATTATTATTATTATTATTATTTTAACACAAATAAATAATCTAAATCTCTATAAATAAATATATTTGTAGTATCTCAATGAGTAGAGAAATTCGATTTTCTGACGTTTCGTGACTTTGTGTAAGCCACTTCTTCAGAGAATAAATAGCCAAATTAAAATTAATCCAAGTTTAAGTAGTACATTGGAACCGCAAGAATGATATCCTTATTGTTATATTACAAATATACTATTTATTTATAGCAATCTACCCAATGCTCAGTTTATTCGAAATTATCAAGTCAAACCTTGGCAATGATACCTACAATCTAAATCTCTATTTATTAATTTAAACACATAAATATTGGTACAAAAAGGTGCCAAACATATATGTGCCACACTTCTTCGTTCGACCTTTGTTTGGGTTGGAATGCAACCCAGGCGTCCGAAACGAGGGAGGTGGTTTTCTTAGGGGGGACACACCTGGAGCCTTCCACTTAGAGATCTGATCCACAAGGCAGTGGAGCAACGTCAAGAGATACGGTCTCATGTTAACTTTGTGACTAACAATTGTTCTCTAAGGATCCTGGAGTCCATTTGCACCATTAGTTTGTAATTAGGGTTTTCCAACTCCCCTAGGTTGACCCTCTGTGTACAGCAGGCGGTTAAAGTGCCTGACATTCGTTTTTCGTTCTCTTAATCTCATAAATAACACCACTGTTGAGAGAAGACAATGAGTAGGACTTCCCTAGCAGTGGTTGTATACGCTTGGTAATGTGAGAGCATTTTGAGAGGGAGAGCTGACTCTCCTCACTCTCGGCCGTCACGTGGAGTCACTCTCTAACGTCTTTTATTTTATCCTATTTCAAAAACGTTTTGCAACAGTGCACATACTCTTCTCATGCATCATTGTATCTGTCAAATTCACTCATATACTCTTTTTTAAGAAACCGTAATCAGTTGCCTGTTTTTCTTAATCTCTCATTACTTGTCTCATCATATCTTACTTAATTATCCTTTTGTAATTTTTCAGAGATTGTTCAATTTTTAAAAAATTTGTTCTCATTTACTTCTTCTTAGGAACATTTGTTACAACAGATATTTGTTTACAACAAGCAATAAATGAAGGTTATCTTGATGTACCAGATGTGATTAATCGATTAAGATGTCAACGTGCCGGGGCTGTACAAGTTGCTAAACAATATGCATTTATTCATCAAGCACTTGTATCACAATTATCAAAACAACAAATCAATAAGAATGATGATAACCAGCACAGTTGTGGTGGGGTTAATAATAATGTTACTGTACTGTAAATATTCATCCCTTCTCTAAATCTACTCATCTATTATACCTTCATTTATTTACTCATTGTGATAAACCAAAGCAAGATTATTATTATTATTATTATTATTGTGCTTTTTTGTCGTCGTCTTTTTCTTGTATGACCTACTAATACCTCTCTCTTATTGGTGTGTGCCTTTTTTCGACTTTTTTTTTTCTTTAGAAAATTTCCTTCACTATTTTTGTGTAGTTTTTAGTGTTTTACCTTTGGATAGTTCAATTTCTGTTTTGTTGTTGTGTATTTCTTTTGTGTGTATGTGTGTGTGTGTACACAATTATACGCATATTTGTTTTCTGTCATTGAGAGTTTTATTATTATAACAAATTGTTGTCTATTTCCCATTGAACTTGTACACAGATATAACACTGATTTTCTTTTATAAAACTGACTATATTCTCTTCTTTTTTCTTAATCAACTGATAACACATATTTATATTCTTTTCTTTCAATTTCTTTTCTGTGTACAGTGCATCTACCCTAATTTTCTCTATCACACACACATTTCATACATACACAGAGACAAACTCACTCTGTTAATCATATTAGATCTTTTTTTATAATTCGATTAAATCATTTGCATGTGTAAAATTCGATCATGATCACAATCGCATTAGTCATCATTCGATATAATAACAAGAAGTAGAAGTAAACCCCCCCTTCTTCTTTTTCACGAATTATCGACCCCTATCACCTACACTCAATATGTCTGATTGAATTTAATCATTGAAATTATTATTCAAAATAAAAATCAATAAATACACTTTGTAAATAATACTTTTTTGTGATTTATTGATTTTTCTTATATGAAATAAAATCAATAGATATATATAACATATTATCACGCATTCAACTATCACTATATAGATCTTATTATAATTATTATTATCTAAACTATTCCTCTATTTGCATTTTGATTAAACTATTCAAAAGAGTGCATTCTAGTTTATCTAAATTAAAACAAAGTCATAAAAATAACATGAAGTACATTTGATTTGATGACAAGTTTCTATTATATACACTATTCTATCTATCTATCTATCCATCTACCTACTTACTCACTTACTTATTTACCTATCTATCTATATCCATGATTTAGAAATTGTAAAATGTATACATTGTTTATGTTTATTATTATAATGAATGTACTATGTATTTTATCATTACATTGTTTTCTCATTCAGTATATATATATTCTATAAAAAAACCCTTTTTTTTCTATTATTTTTCTATATACTACTATTATCATTTGGTTTGTATTGTATTAAACAAATTAATTAATACTTAAAAAATGAATTGTTCTTTTCTCTTATACTCCTCTTCTTCTGTTTAAGAAAATGGCATATACATACTGTACAGTTAATTTGATCGTTTACTGTCATATATAATGTCCTAGTTGAATATCTCCCAATGAATATAAACAGTCTATAGATATGTATTATTGAAACTGCACATATTTTGTTAATATCCATGATAATAATAATAATAATAATACTGTTTCCAAGACATGTAGATTCTTTAAATTTTGTAAGTTGAAAAAATGTCATATTTTACTAATATTTATCACTAGTTGACATCAATCACATGGTAACATTACATATACAGTTCATGTTAGTTTTTGTTTGTTTCGTTTTTTTTTTTTCAATTCCATAACACAATACATTGAGGATTCATTTCAGAGATCAAACACAATATTATTGATTAATATTAATTGTATTTAAAATGTATTTGATTTATTCAATTGTTGTATTGTACAAAATTAGATCATGTTTTTAATATGAGATAACCAATTGTTATTGTTTATTCATGGAAATTGTTTCGTACTTTCATTTGGATTATTCAATAAATAAATATTTGATTGTGTGGAATTTCAATGTTTATTCATTACATCTTTTTCATTTATAAAATATATTTATTAACAAAGTCATATTTTCAAGTTCACCATGTGCATTTCGTCCTATTTGGGACACGTTATTCGAACTTATCTGCATCTCAGTGTTGATGTTCACATTGAAATTCAACTTAGTGTATATTCTACTTCAAATACAAACCTGTTGTCCACTAAGGTATTTAGTTTATATAGCTACTAGTATACGCAATGGGTATGAATTTTATTTGTATATGTTGGCGATTAGACGTTGATGATAATAATGTAATTGATTAATTTTTATTGGTATATGCTCAATATTGAGGTAATTCTCTCAGGATCCATTTGTCTTTAAAGTGATTTATTAATTGCAATCTATAATTTTAACAAACAGAAAATAAGAAAAGGAGAATTCAGTGAAGAGAATTTTCTTTTCGACGAAATCATTTACTGAAGCTGTACATTCGTATATATAGTTAGATATGGAAATGTATGTCTATAGAAGGATAGAAAAAATTGCATCACCAAAATGGATTCGAGGATAAATAACAATTGAGGTTACGTAATAGTAATTTTAAAAATTCGATAATCAAATAAAAGTGCAGAAACATACCCATTAAGGGAACTAGGTCCAAGGAAGGATGAGAGGTTGGACAAATCGTTTCTGCACGCATACATTTTCTTTATATATATTCGAATGTACAGCTTAAGTAAATGATTTCGTCGAAAAGAAAATTTTCTTCGCTGAATTCTCCTTTTCTTATTCAATAACACTATGGGTTATTTTAATTAAACAGGAAACATTAACCCTTACAAGCTATTTCATTATAGTTTCAAACTATATGATAATGTATAATCCATAACCCTATATAAGATTGTATCCAAGATTTCTAGCCACATCTCATGATGAAAATGATACTATTAGATTAGAGTAGATCATTGGATTTCATTTTTATGTGTAGTTTATCATTTTCATATAAATGTGGAAATGAAATCTGATCAAAATGATCATAGAAACAACAATAAATCTAATTCATTCACTGATAACTCCTGACTAGGGTTAAAATCTATCGAACGCGAAATCTTAATAAAACTTCGACAATTCTTTCAGCAAATCATAATCATGACTATCAAAGTTGACATTTTGTCAAAATCACACTAATTGAGATTAGTTATCATTATTGACTGATATTTTTGTGGTCCTATATCTGACTACAGGTAGGATTGTATATTGATTGTCATCGAGTTATTGAAACATACATGTCATCCATCCTGGCTACCCTCGTATATAATTATCGACTTAACTCGCGTTAGTGAATAACGGAATTGAATAAGTTAAATACGAGAATGAATCCCGAATACGTGTATTTCATATAATCGTTGATCCAAACAAACAACCGAAGAAATGAAGTGAATAAAACAGATCGAAACAAAATGACGTGCGGTGGAGAAGGTATATAAGTCAACTCAATTTAACCAAGAGTGACTCAATCTTTATAGTCAGACAAAAATGAGTTACAGACATATAATGCGTAGGATAAGAGATACACAAACATACGCTTGCATAAAAACAGTCAAGGTTGACAAGCGAATAAGTGACAGGGTAAAAATGTGGCTTGAGAAGAATGTATAGATTGATCTGTTCAGAGTCTAGAATAACCTATGTCGACTTGACATAATACCAGACCCTACAATATCACCTGGAGGATTGTTAAGATCAAGACAATATTGAATGACATTTGTGATGCTATAGTATAGGATTGCAACAGTGAACTTCTTTGATCTCATTTCAAGATCTAAGATATGATCCAATTTTATGTGGTAATTAAAATCAGTTAACTAATATGAGATTTATCTGATTATATTTCGGATAAAAATAATGATTGTACATATTCATATTGGTACAAAGATATATGGCATGATTGCATTTTGAATTTTCCCACTATTTATAATGGGCTAAGCATAGATATTGATTTGTTTCACCAATGTGTTATTTCATGAATAGAAAGAAGTATGATATAACTATTCTTTTTACCTTTTACAAGTATTAATAGTTACATTGATAATCAATTAGGATGAGATTATAATTTATGGACAACCTTTGAGCGATGCTAAAGTGACATTGAAAATGTCCACCTAATAACAAAGACTAAATGAGGGTTATAAATCAGCGTGAGGAATTAGAATGATAATTTCCAGTTGATGATTAGAGTTAGGAATTCAATTTAGAGTTTCCATCACGAACTGATATCAGCTATAATGCCAAAACTCTATTTAACCAAATGAATGAGTGAATTTCGCACTAAAATCGGAGAACTGTTATCTTATGCCTGACTGGTTCGCCCATGAATGACAGACTCATCGAATTATTCTTCTCTGTATTGTTTTATAGGTTTTTTTCTCTTGATTACATATCCAATAATTCTACATATCGAACATTCGGTTAAATTAGAAGTGAAAACAACTTTACAAGATTTTATTCGAACAATTTTTCCAGAATTAATATTGATAAAGTTGAATCCTCTATGATAGACAGTATAACTATGATACTTTCATTGACACCCTAAACGACATTATTTTTACAATCGCTCCCATAAAGTACAAGTCTTTATTGCCCCAAATACCCTGGTATGGTCGAGGGTGAGGAGAATCCTCTTTCCCCCTTAAAATGCTTTATATGGTCATGAGTATGCAGCCACTGCCAGGGAAGTCCTACTAACTGCCTTCTCGTGGCGGGGGTGTTGTTTACGAAATTGACAGGACTAAAAGCGAATGTATGTTTGTTTAACAGGGTTGTTGGACATGGAGGGTCCACCTAGGGGAGTTGGAAAACTCTGATTCCAAACTAATGGTGCACATGGGCTCCACCATCCTGAGGGGACAAATGACGTATGAACCAACTGTTGGTCACAAGGCCACCGTGAGACTGCATCTCCTTACGTTGCTCCACTGCCTTGTGGATCAGATCTTTAAGTAGAAGGCTCCGAGTGTGGCTCCCTACGAAAACCACCTTCGTTTTGGACACCAGGGCAGTATCCTAGTCCGCAAACAAATCAACTGACTTGTGTAGCTCATATGTATTTGGTGTCCCTTGGTACCAATATATATCCAAATAAATAAAACAAGTCTTTATCACTATTACCAAAATAACAAGAGAAATAATAATGAAAGTGTTAGGTCTCGATAAACATAATGAATGGTAACTTTGGAATCGTTTTATGGACCAATACTAAACGTATATTTTTATCGTCTAATTATTAAATAACTAAACTATTCATACTCATATTCCTCTTATTATAAACTTTATTTTGACCTATGAACTATTGTTCTACAATTTACCATTCTTGAATTATACCCTGTCTATTAATCACTACCTCCCATACTCACAGCTACATTTGGCCAAATTTTGTACAAATGTTATTTTCTATTTTATGCTACGTTGTGGTCTGTTTGGTTGGTATATAAACTCAGTATGTTTGAAATATAAGGATTTATATTGCAGAGACTGAGGCTGGTGTTCTGGACTTAACTAGCTGGGCTAGGCGAAAAGCAGGACCGATCAAAACTCTAGGCTGCTTGCACGTGTTTTACGCGTCCTCGATCCGATCGATAATTCGCTGCTTTTGATTGGCGGCTTTGGGCTATAACAGAAAGTGTTCAGTCAATTATCCCTATGTTTTTTTCTCATTTTGATCCAAGTAGCTTTAGCTGTTGATGTTAAGTGTGTATTAGGCTAGTTCATTCTGGTTTATTACTTAACAAACAATGTTTAAGTCATAGATACTGTTAGTCTAAATAAAATCACATGTTACACGTGTCTGAATTCTAGTTGAGTTGAATGAGTCATTCATCATACATGCTGTGAACTGAATACAAATTAGGCAATCTTTTCAAGGTAATTGTAATGATGACTAATTATCATACGTTTGTAAATTGTATGTCAGGTTAGACACTATGATTAATTAGCTATTTTTATTGACATGCCTTCCTAGTTGTAATTCTAAACTTTGTTGTACGATTAAACCCAGTTAGGGTGCTACTAAGATCCAGGATCCACTAGATGTCACTTTCGCCTTAGAATGCGACAAATTCACTGTAAGTATCCACTTCTTCAGCCATGGAATTTAAGACCCTTAGAACTTGTGGGAAATGTTTAACCATTAAGACCAATTCGGTGGTACGGTTCTCAAACTTCAGTCCATTCCCAACATATTATGTAGATCATCGAGTCCATTAGTGACAACTGTCCAATTCTAGATATATCTAAAATCTCTAGTTTTTATAAGTACTCTGCGATCAATTCGTGATGAATATCACAAACTAAAATGATCTTCACAATCCCCTTCATGTAGACTGTTTTTTTTATTCAATGATTTGAGGAGTATATTGGGTATCTAATGGAATCATTGAAAAAGTAACCTAAAATTCATTTAATATTAACAATTCTGCAATGACTTAACTGGACTGTTGTTATGACCTTGATCTGTCTACTCTAGATTGAGACCTTGACGCAATAGGTTGGCCGGTTTAACCTTGAGGCTAGTACGCGTGAGTTCGAGGTGGGGTAGAGAGAAAACTAATCTAGCACCCGATCGGCAGGCAGGCACGTGAACGAGAGAAGACAAGACAGTTGGAACATTATTAACTGTATTGCGATATCCTGATTTCTTGTGAAATCTCTGATTCTCTAAATTCTGATTATTGCGAAAAGGTACATGAATAAATAGGTGATTTACCTGACCACAGCGTACAATAATTTGGAAAAATAAAGTCCAAAACTGGGAATTAGGGTAGAAAATAAGGTGCAAAATATTATGTTTAAATTACAATAGCTTCGGAACCAAAAGGGGTATGGCAATGAATGATACATCGAACGAAAGCTTATGTTCTGTAGAATAAAAAAGGGAAAAAATAAATGTCAGTGTTTTACAAGCTTTGAATAAAATGAAATAACGTCCCGAAAAATAGCTTTCGTAGTTTATCAGGGTTTCTTGTTTCCCTGTTCACATCAACTGTAATGATCCTTACAATATTAATTGATCTAAAGGTAACATGCTCATGAGCTTGATCCTCAGCTGGATCATTTTTATCTGTAGACTGCTGACAAACTTTATAATATGACAAAACAACTATCCAATGCTCCACAGATCCTCAGCTTACAATTTTACATATTAAGAACTAAATTCAGTTTACAGATCACAGTTGAAACATTTGAGGAGAGCAGTTATAAATGATGCCTATCTTTAATAACTGATTTCCTGCGTTAAACTGATCTCCCCATTTAGTAAGTAATATAGTGCATTATTTTTGTCCTCCAGTTTTTATTTGATCCTGTAAGGACTATAACACTATATTCCTAGCAAGTATATCAGTGGGTTGTTAGCGCATCATATGTGTTGCACAGGATCATACATCTCACAATCTATAGAAGTAAGCGACAATTCATAAATGCCAAATTTTTGGAATTCTTCTTGGTGAATCTCCTCAAATTCTAGTAGTATACAATGACAGGTAAAATTAAATAGTTCAATGGTGTTATATCCCGATGTGAATAACGATTGGTAACTGTTGGAATATATTGCTGGAGTAATACTATGTTTATATGTGTATCGTATAATTGTTAAGTAACTGAACTATTCATATTCATGTTCCTCTTATTATAAGCTTTATTTTGACCTATGAAGTATTATTATACGATATACTATTCATGAGTTATACCCAGTCTATCAATTACTATCTCCCACATTCACAGCCACATTTTGCCAAATTTTGTACAAATGTTATTTTCTATTTTATGGTACGATGTGGTCTGTTTGATTGGTATATAAACCCAGTATGTTCGAAATATAGAATTCATATTTCAGAGGCTATGATTGGTGTTTCTGGAATTAACAGGCAGGGCTAGATAGGAAGAAGGACCGATAAAAACTATAGACTGTTCGTACAAGCTTTATGCATCATTGATTCTGTCGATAAATCACTGTTCTCTAATTGGTGGTATCATTACGTCATAAATTAATAGGGGACAAAGTCATAAGTTATAACAAATGGTAAAACAGTTATTTGTAAATAAATCCTCTTATTTTGTCTAAATTTGTCTTGTAAAAGTTGAGCGACTTGAATATTCTATATGAGAACCCCTTGTAACATTGTTACTGTGCTCTACTAATTAATCATTCATAATAGAATGAAACAGTTGTGTTTACTCACTTGTTACCATTTAATTTCTAATCCATATCAATCATTGGTATAAGTTTATTTTCAAATACATTAAGACAATTATTATGTGTTATATTTCACATGAAAACAAATTTTATCATACATTTAATTATAGATATTAAACATAAATTTGAACTTGACGATAATATAAATGAATTCGGTAAAGTTACACGCTACATTCACTCTCAATTATGACATCATTTACCAACAAAAAAATTGGGACAATTTAATAATGCTAATAATAATGATAATAATAGTAATGATAATACATCCATACTAGATGAGCGATATTTCAAGCTTTAAGCGTTATTTGACCGCCATATTTTCTTTAATCAGTAAGTTGTAATCCTCATGACCTTAGAATCACATTGTTAAATGAATATGAAGTGTATGTAACAACTAATCTCATAAATTGAGATAACCATTTTAACTTCTATCTGACACAATCAGTTTGTGTAGTCTTATCAAATAAATTTGGGTCAGTCATACGACTTTATTAACCGACGAAATATAAATTGTAATTATAATGTATACTATTTTGACAAATTAAAGAGATCAGTTTAGAGGGAGAGGTTATAGATGTTGTAGGATATTTCAAGTTTAAATTAGGAACTGACCTTAGCTTAATTGCCATTATAGAACTTGAAAACTTTGGACAGCTACTTTGTCCAAGTATGAGAAGCTATTAACCAGTGTAGTCTAATCACGTTGCTTGTGTGACATTTATCCACCACAGATTATGGAAAGCGATTGCTCATTATCGGGAATTAATTCAAGTTAGACACGTACACTATCGAGTCCCGGCTTAGTAGTCGAGAGGCTAAGCGTTTGCGTGTTAGACTTTCAGTGACCTATTTTTATCAAGAGAACGCGATTGGTTTAGTGGAAACAATTATTATTTTAACCAATTGTACCAGTGATTGTTTTACTGTACTTGTTTGTTTAACTGTACTAAAGACATCCATTATTCTTCCATTCTTTCTTCTGTTGGTTGTGGCCTTGCACGAATTCGGTTACGCTCAGTAACCACATTTTACTCCTTTGGCACGATCTCGGTATTCTTTCGATATCATGAGATCGCCAATAAATACATCTCGACTACAGCCATCAACTGCCTTCTGATATTTGACCTATGGGGGATTTTATCGGTTAACTGGCACATAGTCTTCTTGTACTGGTGATCATAGTCAACCGCGACTCGACGCCACACTACAAACTGAGGGTACTGGGCTCGATAATGAGTGACGAAATCCTTGGTACGCATCGCTGGGACGAAACAGCTGTTTCTTGCTTCCTAATTATCATCAGTGGTCGAGCTAAAATCAGTTTGAACCACGACGACTTGTCAATGGCGCTCTTTGTTTATCTGGTTAAGTTAATTCTCTAGGTTAATTGCCTTCAACTTAAACATAATTTTCAAAGAACTTCCATCTTAATTTTAATGAATAACATGAAAAATCACATCAAAAACCTACAATAATTTCCAAACACTTGCTCTAAATTATTAAACAATAAAATTATTTATTTTCTTATTTGCTAAAACTCATCATCAATTAACACTAACCATATTTAATTTTCCCATTTACCATTACAGACAAATCGTTGATTTAAACAGATTACGATGGCCCGAGACTCGAACTCAGGACCTATCAGTCTCGCGCACGAATCTCGCGAGGTGGGATTGTGGATACGCACTTCTGAGGAGTCCCATAATAGGACAAAATGGCCGTCTAGTGCTTCCAGGTTTTCCATAGTGGTCTAGATTCAATTGATTCATGATCTCAACCATTGAAATTGCTATAATATCCACAAAAACCCTTCTCATAAAAGAGATTATTAAATAAAATTACTCATTATATGTTTATTAGAAAATGAAGTCTAAGAGAGTACAGTATATAAACCCGTTTAGCTAAAGATTTTAAAGAATAACAAACTAGATACAGATCAAAGAATAATTTCATTGAATAATAGATTGATAGATACATTACACATTGAATGGATTCATATAGATACTAGTTAGGTACATAATTTTGAATGAATATAAACTAATGATCTAATTATTAGTAATAATAAGTTTAGAATCTAAAAAAAAAAAAGAGAGAATAACAACAGTTGTATAAATCTTTTTTCCGATTCATCATTTCTCTTCATTTGATTGATTTCTACCACATTGATCAAATTACTGAATCTTAATTAATTTAATGAGAATAAATAAATTAGGATACTGAACGCTGTTGAAATTAATATTGATTTGACTTGAACACTGTTAGTTAGAACACTTTGATTACATGCATCATCTGTACAAATACAATAACGCATTTTCACTTTATCTGTACCCACTCTGTCTATACATTGAGGGATTTCCGGTGAGATTGCACTACAATCACGATAGATTCGTACAGTTGGCCTATTCGTAACATTATGACTATACATATATGGTGCCTCCTGTTTAAATATTAAACAAAATAAAAGTAAGGTGATTGGTGTAGATTATATACTACTTATATGAACAAGAACAGTGTATTCTCGTCTTGTAAATAATAAATAACATGAAACTGAAATAACAACTAACATCTGTTAAACAAAAGTCGACTGTTCTAATTCAGTTAGCTCATTGAAAAATTTCTTTGATGCTTGGAAGTGATGGATTTTGAGTTCTTGATTAACTGGCAACAATAATACTACTTATAAATAATATGTAATTATTAATCATTACTGTAGAATCTGGCATAAATATGCTTTAGTTCAAGTTTCAACACTTAAAAAAAGAAATTCAGAATATGATAAGCGCTGATAATGCCAATTAACCATTAAGAATATAATTGGAAAAGAAAGAACAAAATGCATGAAATAGCATTATTAAACTTAAGTTGTTTAAGAGATGGTAATGAATGAATAACATTTAATATCATTAACTGCATATTTTTTCTGTTTCAGGCTTTCCAAGTTCATAAAATAAGTTATCATGTTTGAGTATTCAGTACAGAAAAAGATCGGATAAACGGATAGAATAAAGACCGCTTAATTAGAATTGAGAAAATAACTTTCGGGTTTTCATGAAACATTAAAAAACAAAAGATTTTATCTTCTATCATCTAAAATTAGTATTCGAAACATCATTCTATAACACTCAAGATCCTAACATTAAGTTCCTAACGTCAAATCTTTAACGCTAAACTCTTAATCCCTTAGTAATAACACTAAATGGATCCGCTGACTAGACACTATCAGCAAAAACCTACTGTGAGAGAGAACAAGCCAGATCCCAGTGGAGGAAGAACCGCTGGAAGTGGATAGGACACTGTGGTGTTTGAATGAACTAATGATTCCTTTGTACTTGTTGAATGCTTGATTTCGAATTCCAAATACAGAACATTCATTCGTGCTTATCTAGTACTTCTTGATCCGGTTACGTTAATTCTGGGATTCTTAGTTCATACTATAATTCATATACTCCTAATCATCATAGACACACATTGAGGAAAGCATCCAACTACGTCACAAGGCAAGCCCTCACATGGAATCCTCAAGGCCAAACGAAAAGAGGAGGACCAAAGAATACATTACGCCGAGAAATGGAGACAGACATGAAAAGAATGAGCAAAAACTGGGTAGAACTAGAAAGGAAGAACCAAGATAGAGTGGGTTGGAGAATGCTGGTCAGCAGCC